AGAATGAATAACTGTTTAAATGAATGGCATTAAATAAACCCAGTAGGAATTCAGAGATGCCACATGAGTGAGTGCTGAAATGTTTGCCACAACTCCCTAAACGTGTGTATTTGCAAATGTTTATTGTACACTGTCATGGTTACAAAGGAAATAACACAGAGCCCAGTCCTCCATGAGCTTATGAGTTCAAGTATACTCATTGACTTATTAAGGGGTTGATTGATAACACCAGTTGAGGGCTTCAAACAAGGAGCCACTGAGAATTGTTTGGTATTCAGAAAAGTGATTCAGGGGGCTGAATTCTCTAAGAAAAAAACTACTTATCTGTTCCTCCAGATTCTGATTTCGATTGCACTACCATTCTCATCAGAACCTCTACATTGTCCATAATAACTAAATTATCAGGTGTATTTGCCAAATCTTTTAATGCTGCTTTTTTAAAAGCATACTTTTGATGTAATTGACATGATAAATTAGAAACATAGCACCATGGCAAATAATCCTTCATTGAAAACTTCTTTAAATCATTTGGGACCAGAGTCAAAGCACCTGTCTATTTGAATTCATTCAGAGTCTCAGCAAGATTTGGCAAGATGAACTGCTTGGGCCACCTTGGAAGGAGGCTGTGGCTTTAGCAGGCAATTTAGTTTTGTGGTTTCCTATCAAGTAAGAAAGGTTCAGTGTTTGCGGAATTGAAGCACAAGTAAAAACATCAAAAATTGTTTATGGATGAACAATGAAAGTAGTTTAACAGAGCAAATTATGCAAAAGCTTTTATTTGATCATTCACAGATATCTAAAGCATGACTCCCTACAAAACAGTATCTGACTATTTCCCCATACCTTCCATTCAGGTCCTGGGTAGGTCAGGGGTTATTAACACAAGTTCTGCAGAAGTGGGAAGTTAACTCTGGAAAATGCTGACATTCATGTTTCCCTTTCCTTAATGGAACTGTATGTTTCATTTCAGCATATTTCATTAAGACACCAAACAGATTCAAAGAATGTGCTATATTTCCAGGTCTATTATAGCTGCCATTCCAAACAAAATATGTACGACTTCCATGATTCACTAAGCACAAGTATGTAGTAATCTGCCCTTTAATGGCCTCTCAAAATGACAAACCAAATGGCTTTGTGAAGGTCAAGTCTGATTTAAATTGTTGATGAATTAATAGCTAATTCTGCATGATTGAATATTAATATGGAACAGTGATAAGTAAGGCACTTTAAAGCTTAATGAGCACATTAATGAATAGGACAAAATGTTTTTCTTTTCACCTCATGTAAAAGTTTAAAGCTGCTAACATATTGACAATTTGTTAGTTTTTGATAGCTGCTTTTTTTTCTGTAAAAGTTTATGTGGTTAAGATGTAAAAGGTATTGATTTTTTTTTCCCCAAGTTCCTGGTAGTATACATTGATAGCTGTCAAAATTGATGTTATCAAATGGCCAAGGCAGTTTTATATAAATCAATAATAAATGTAGAAGGTGAAAAAAAAGCAATTAACATCTTCTAAACTACACCCACTGAGATAAGCAGCCCAATTAGAAATTTCATTATTTCTACAGTTCGTTTTATGTTGAATACTGAGTTTTATTGCCAAATACCTGACAGTCAAACTGGAAACAAGCCACAACTGTCAACGTGTAAGAGTTCTGGCTATTTGAATCTGTTACATTGTGATGTTTCTCATGAAAATTTAATGAAGAAAGTACATTCAAAGAGATTCTGTGCAAAGGGGGGATGGATAGAATTTAATTACCCTTATTAAAAATAAGAAAGGAACACTCTTTACATCCACTGTCCGATTAGTATGCAAGAAAGATTATCTTTGTTGTGCACTTGTGTATATGAAAAGGGAGCTCTGGAGTGTTCTTTATGAGCCAAGAAGGAAAAAGAAAGGTCATGCAAATGTATTAGACTGCTTTGGGTAGGGCACAAGTCAATTTTGTCAGCTCTCCCCAAGGTGAGGACTTCATTTCTTATAAATGGTTATTAATTCTAGATTTCTTTAGTAAGAGCCTTTAGTAAGTGGCAACAATCTTAAGTCTTTGACACTTGCCACTTGGTACTGAATATTGGCTTGGTTCTTCAGAGAGATGAACCTGTAGAAGAAAAGTAATGACTAGTAGGTCATTGTTAATGTATGCTAATGTAACTAGTATTCAAAGGCCTGGGGGTAGATACAACGCCCTGGGAAATGCAGAATCAGTTCAAGGATCTCAAGGTGATTTTTTATTAACCTAAATTGGTGGTTTTAAATATGGAAAATAACAAAATCTAAGAGCTTTTAAAAAAACTCATTTCTAGGTAACTAAGCCAGTGTAGTTGACTTTGGAGCACTTGAATTATTTTTTTCCTTTGAAGCATTTTCTGTCAATAGCTGACAAGTGAGATGTTTAATGTGATGTGTATGGTACAATGGCTATTGATCTTTATGCTTTTGTTTTTTAAGTAACGGTAGAACTATGCTATAGATGTAAATACATCATACTGATGAAACCTTTAAAGTCATAAAGAACAGCCTGATGAAATTCAAATGGAGTAGGTAATCAAAATTAGTCTAATTTACAAAATGCTCTATTCCATTTGCAATTTTTAACTTTCCAACTTGGAGCCCTGAAATATCATCTTGAAATTTCATTCTTAACTATTGTTTCTGACACTTGTCTACCATAGACTTCTGCTTGGCTGATGATGTGTAAGCATTCAAATAAACAGATTGTATTCCTGCTTCCTCAAAACAGTCATATCTTTCAAATTAATTAAAATGTTGCTCATTGAAGTGAACTATTTTTATAACTTTTTTAGTCTCCAGCTGTAACTAGCTGGTGGGACAGGAAAATATTCTCTAGTGAATTGAGATGTCAAACTCAACTTGCCTTAGTAGCTTCCATTGTTCTTTCATAAATCTCCCTGCGGGAGAGCCAGGGTCCACACTTTTCCCTGTTCTCTTAGCCCCACAATTTCTCTTACAATAATCTGGAGCTGTTGTTGAGGGAAACCTTCCCTTTATTGGGAGGTTTATTCTTTGGTAATATTTTAACTTTCATTTATTCAAAATCTCTCTCTATAGTCCTGAGCTATTTCTCTGATCAACTCTTTACCAGAAGTAGTTTTCTACTATATGTAGTAGAAAAACTTTTTTTTTCCAGTTTTTAATCACTAGGATATATTTATATTTAACCTTGGGAATCATTGGAGGTTCTATTCAAAGTTGAGTAATCCAGGGACTCCAGGGTGGCTCAGTTGGTTAAGGGTCCGACTCTTGATTTTGGCTCAGGTCATGATCTCAGGGTTGTGAGATCGAGCCCTGCATCAGGCTCACGTGCTGGGTGTAGAACATGCTTAAGATTCTCTCTCTCTGTCTCTCTTTCTCAAAAAAAAAAAAAAAAAAAAAAAAAAGTCAAGTAATCCAGACTAGTATCATGGCAAGGGATTTGGATACAAATGAGACATGGAGGAACACATGGTGTAGGGAGATAAACTGATGATAATAAGTACAAGAAAATGGATTTTAGTTACTATACAATAGCTCTGAGGAGGAAAATATTAAATATATTTGAGAGGCTTTTTATTACAAAGAAGGTGATTTTGGCTGCATGGCTTTTCAGAGACACAGAGTACTTAGTGAACATGATTTGTCTGGGAAACGGTTAAGAATTACAGTGTGAGAAGAAAATTGCCTGTGGGGGATATCATTCATGAGAGGCAGAGAAAAATGGGGCCTGATTTAAAAGGATTTTGCTAGCTAGATTTAGGAGATTGAGTTTATCGTATAATGATAGAAGGGAGACAGTAGAGAACACATAGATCTGACTGACAACACAGTGGAAGCATCAAAATGGAGGCTTTTCCCTAGAAATTATAACCCAGACTTCAGCAAAACTCATAGGATCATACAAGAAATTGCAGGCTACAGCCAAGGAAAAGTGAGGTGCCATATCTGGTGAGTCCTAATTTTTTTTCTCACTGGTGTTTGTGCTTTTGAGTAATTTTGGAATTGGAGGCTCATGAAAATTAATCAGAGGTAATGAAGGAGGGTTGATTAAATTAATGCCAGACCCAATGAGAATTTGAAATGTTTCCTAATGGTTTTCAAACAAACAGCCAAGTTCTAATTTGGATAATCATCATCACCCATATAACTCAAACTCCTTCAAATTTGAAATTTCTTCAAGATAGAATATGCCTTTCTAATGTTGGCTGGAAGATCTGGTAATGCAAGTTAGTCATGTGGATCATCATGTTTAGGGGATTTAAGAGGACTTTAATTTTGCAAGATCTAAGATCTAGGACATTTTTTTTTAAAGATTTATTTATTTGACAGAGAGACAGAGAACGCAAGCAGAGGGAGCGGGAGAGGGAGAAGCAGGCTTCCCGCCGAGCAGGGAGCCCGACTCGGAGCTCGATCCCAGGCACCCTGGGACCATGACCTGAGCCAAAGGCAGACACTTAACCAACAGAGCCACCCAGGCACCCTGATCTGGGACAATTTTGATATAGGTTAGGGAGAAGTGAACTTTGGATGAGCTGAGGATTCAAAATTTAGGAATTTCAGCTCTTAGTGACTGAAAATGGTGTAGGCCTTTGGAATAGAGGAAAATACTCTCTTACTCTGAGGAATATACTTCCACTTGTTCTTAAAGGCCCATTTCAGAGCCTCCTTTGGTACTCACTGACCTTCTCAGGCACACATTCTGTAATTTCTTTTCCCTCCATCATGCCAGAGAACCAGATGCATTTTTTCATCATGGTCTTTATCACATGTGCCTTAGCTCTTCGTCAGGTTATTGGTCTCTTATACAGAAGGTGCATTCTTCTGGCCAGGAACAACATTGTGACATCCTAATCTGATAATGCAATGTTGCCAGGTTTGTATTAGCTTCTCAACAAATGCTGAGTAAAGTAAGGGGAAAGATTAGTGGGCAAAAGCTCTTGAATCTTGAGTGTCTGACTTGTTAACATAATGTTTGTATCACCTTTTGTCTTGCAGAGGATCAAATTCCCAGGGGCTTCCCTACCATTGACATGGGCCCACAGTTGAAGGTGGTCGAGCGTACACGCACTGCCACCATGCTTTGTGCAGCCAGTGGGAATCCAGATCCAGAAATAACTTGGTTTAAAGATTTCTTACCTGTGGACACAAGCAACAACAATGGCCGTATTAAGCAGTTACGATCAGGTAGGGTCTTGTTACTGTTTCCACTAACTCTTAAGATATTTTTTTTTAGCTTTCTCTTTCTTTATTTTTATTTTTATTTTTATTTTATTTTAATTTTTTGGTATTGATTTTTCTCCCTCTTCTCTTTCTCTGTTATTTAATGTGTTGTCCATGTTTGTGATGTCATAGCCTGTTTCAGAGTCTTTCTCTCTCTGTGTTTTGCAGCTTCTGTTTAATCCTCATTGCTCACTGCTGTGACTGTATTTTTGATAATTCTTTAATTTACTGCTTTTTGCAGTATTTGATGGATCCATTTTCTCCTCTTTCTTCTTTCTCTGTTTTCTTTTGGAACAAATTTATTTCAACATTGGACTTCATTCAGAACTTGCAAGGAGCTCCAATGATTGTATCCATTAAAAACCAAAAGATTCATATTAAACACTAAAATGATTCAGTTTTATTAAAGTGTGTTTTATCTGTCTTTTCTGCATTTGAACTCATCAAAGTAACAAAGTTTAGTAAGTTTGGTCACATCTGCTTCCTTTTCACTAATACATAAACCACAGAAATGTTATCTCCTGAGTAACCAGATGTATTTTGCAAAAGTCCTTTACCAAGTACCAATGAAAGGAGGGGATTTTGATTAATTTTATTATTATATTATTGTGAGTGAGCATTTTCTACACATAAGCCACAGTAGTGTGCGCCCACACTAAAGAGTTTTGAACCCTCCAGTGACTGGATCTACAGAAGTCTGCTTTTGGTGTAGACTCCAGCTTTTGCTGCTTTCTCCTCTCTCTCCCTGCTGCCCTTTTGTCCCTTTCCCATCCCCATCCCAGGTTCATTCCTTTGCTCTCTTTAGATTAAAAATAGAGATAATTCTAAATTTCTTAAATTTTAGAGCCTGTCCCTGGGTGATTTCCCTGGGACATGTAGTAATAAGCGGTTTACTTTGACGTTGGGAGTAATATTGATATAGAATTCTAAGTTGTTTAACTTAACTGCCTGTCTTCCCAGAATTCTCAGCTTTTGACCTGTCCTGTGATGTTAAAGCGTCTTGTTAACTGCCTCTTTTGCTTGTTGTCAGCAGAATTGTGTAGATTAGCATTCTGTTATTGTAAATAAAGAATTAATTATTCACATGTAACATAGATGATTTAGTATATAAAGCTTTAACTCTGAAAAATTTGTACCAAATTATAAGGAATATAATAATATTTTTATGCTGTCTTTCTTCTCTCCGTATTTAAATCTCCAGAATCTATTGGTAAGTGCTTAGTTCTGAAGCGCACTTCACCCCACTAATTTCCATATCCAGAATATTATTATTATTTTTATTATTATTAATAAAATGCATGGCATGCATTTTACTAACTGTCAGTGTAGACACCAGATCTTGGTAGTGGCGCACACATGCACACATCCACAGAACTGTTATTGTAAGAACACTGTCTAGAAAAATAAAATAGTACACAAGTTGTATCACACAAATGTAGCATAGTGAGAAGCATAAGATATTCAATCAACAGTGTTTGTTTCTAGTTAGTCATTAGTATTTCCTACAACAGTATATATATATATGCATATCTATATATATACTTAAATAGATTAGCCAGTATTTTTCCTAAACTATGTCTTTAAAAAGTATTGTTTAGTTTTTATTTATTTTTTTAAGAATATGAGGCATATAAGATATGATTCTAACCTGATATGACCCCAGACCTAAGAACTCAGTTGCTTCTCTGAGAGGCAGCGATGCCTATTGTGGTCTTTGCCCTCTGTGGTATAATGCAACTTGCTTTTGTAATCTAATAATACTATCTAATATATTCCTGTTTTACCAGTATAGTAATTCAAGTTTCTTTTAAGACCTTATTTAATTCTGTAAATCTAATTTAATTCTTCTCCCCAGCCCTAGCCTCCTCCTTCTCGTACTAATGCTTCTTCTTTCTAATCTTATTTGCATTCATATTATCCACCCAGGTGGTACACCAATAAGAGGTAAGAGTGCTGAACTAACGTTCACAGAATGATCTTGCTCATTCTTTCTGTCCTCTCATTACTCCCATCTTTGTCCTGTTTTCAACATCATTCCAATAATATGTCCATCAACTTTATTTTTTCCCTTTGTACTGTTTGGTTATGATCAGTGACTCTCATATTGTGAGTTTTCCTTTTCTTTTCCTTTTCTCTTTGTTTTGTTCATTTCTTTCTTTATGGAAATGATTATTTAAGTTGTGATATGCTTCAAAGAAAGCATATCCAGGTCTCTAGACCACAGACCAGTCACAGCGTACCATCTGTCCCTCTTTTTTTCCTTTTCTTCTTCTTCCTTTTTCCTTTTTTCTTTTTTTTTCTTCTTTTTCCTTTTTTTTTTTTTTTTTGTCCAATCGGAGAAAAAAAAGATCATTTTTTTCTTCCTTAGCTGTTCTTGTTCTGGACCAAAGCCAAGATGGTCTGGAGAACAGTGGCAGACATGCAGAAGACAGCCTGGAACATCTGCTTTTTGTCTTTATCTTTCAAAAGGTTTTTGCTTTTCTTCTTCAATTCTTTTTTCTCTTACTGTCTTAAAAGTCAAAGAATGACTCCCCTTTCCACCTGATCCCACTCGCCTACAACCTGACAGCAATGTTTTTTCCCCCCACTTCTTTTTTTCTTGGATTACTCGCCTCTGGATTTTTGGATCTTCTGTCCTTCAGGCTATGGAAACAAAAGGTGCTCAGTATTCTTGGTGGTATGTGATATTGCTGGTTTTTCATACTTTGACTCAGTGTTCATTTCTTTTAGAATTCTTGTTTTGTATTTTTCTTGGGGCTTTGTGACACCACACTGCTAATCCCACTGGTGGATTTTGATGGGTGTCTTAAGGGATCCGCCTCGAGGTCCTCAAGCAGTGGTTGGTTGGCTCTTTCTCACTGGCATAGGCCGTGCTTTTTAACTTTTTTAAAACCTTCTAATTCAACTGCTCTTTGTTTTTCAGCAAATGTAATAAATGATTGTAAGTCGTGGCAAACTGTCTTTCTTTTCTTCAAAATCTGCATGTCTTAAGGGAGTTTTGTTTCTTTAAGTAATATTTTCATAATATATAATGACTAATTTTAATTTTTTGCTTTGTGCAGCCTTTTTGTACTTGCTGCGTATTTTTGCCTTTCTTCAGCAGAAGACTTTCTTGAAAACCCGGCCTGGTTTTTTTTGAGCATACCTATCTTTTGCGCCACTTTTGGTACCACAAAATGGAACAAAACAAAACAAAACCAAAAATTAATCTTTTGTTTGATTTAAAAGCCATACTTCCTTGAAGCAGTCTCACCCATCTTCATTTTATTAGTCTAGGAAATGAGAATATTAATTATGACTAGAAGTCTTGCTTGGGAAAAGAGATAATTGTTTTCTTATGCTAGCATTGATGATGTAAAAAAAAAATAATCTCTATATGTTTTTCTCATCGCATCATTTTCTGTCTGTGCACCTTAGCGAGAGATTGAATCGACGTTGAGCGGACCTTCGCTTTGCAGGGCTTTTCATATTGTTAAGAGGTTTAGCTTTTTGCTCTGAGAAAGCCTTCTCTGACCATCTCTTTGGCACTATATTTTATATCCATACAGGCGCCCTTCAGATCGAACAGAGTGAAGAATCTGACCAAGGAAAATATGAGTGTGTTGCCACCAACAGCGCGGGCACTCGCTATTCTGCCCCTGCCAATTTATATGTCAGAGGTAGGAATGACGTCACCCTGGCATCGCTTCCTCATTAAGACTCAGGGGGAGTTGAGAGACCCACAAGATCTATGTTGTTATGTCAGTAGGTACCAAGCTGATATGCTAGTAATTACAGTAGCTGAAGCATTTTAGTACATAGAGAATTAAAGATCTTAACCCTATTGTTAAAAAAAAAAAATGACGACTTTTGAGTAAAACCTATCCTGAGGCTTGAAGTTTGTAAGTATATTTGCATTTTTACATCTCGATTTCTACTTTTACTGCATTGATTGAACTATGCTTGGCATTTGTTTGAAGTTCTCTTCTTTTCCTTCTTTTTTTTCTGTTGCTGTTTCTCTTCTGTTTCCTTATCAAACCCTGAAATAATTGCTTGGTGTGCTACTAATCAGTTTTCTGTGCAACTCCAAGCATAAAAGTGTTTATGTCTTCAAGACCTCTGCTGCAGAGCTGTAAGGATAAAGCTGCTAACTTAAAAACAAAAAAACAAACAAAAAGAAAAGGTGCTCCCATGCAAATAACACAATTATATTTCCTTTCTTTTTATACTTTTTAAAATTTATGAACAGGTGGTTTTATGTATGTGCATATGTCTATGCATATATTTGCACACATTTTAAAAAGTTATTAATATTCTGAAAAGTTTAATTTTCAATTGCCCTGGAACCCTGATTGTATTTTTAACAAATAATCTTAGTTGTCCTTGGGACAAGAATTGACTTATAAGGATACATTCATATTTTCTCATAAACTAATATAAATGGTTACATTTTGAGCTTATGAATGGCTCTGCCTTTCATTTCAATTAGAAAGAAGTATTTCTTCTTCCCCAGAGTTTTCCAAAGCTGGTTCCTATAGCTTTTTGTTCAATGGAAATGCTCTTATTCCTGGTCTACGTGTCTGTGAATAACTACAAAAGGCATGGGTGGGGGTGGGAATAGATTAAAGACTGCAAGGGCTTTAAGTTACAATAAGATGGGTTTCCTCAGGAAAATACCTAGCTTGATTTTGAAATTTTTGTTTGAGATAATTTTGTTTCTGTGGGGCTGTTTTCCTCTCCTATCTTTCTCTGGAGTCTGGGGTGGGAGAATATGAAGAAACCATTTCTTCTCCAAATTCCTTGAAAGCCCCTTGATCCTTTTTCTTACAACGGTGACCTCCTTTGCTGCATGAGGCATGTGAACCTTCTTCAATGGAAAAATTTCAAAATGATGCTAGCTATTGTTTCTAATACCGTATTAGTCCATGAGGCGTTGCTAACGTTTTCAGCTGAGGTAGGAAGGATTAACTAGAGCAAATAAAGATATTCAAGTAGCAGTTGAAAGCCTTGATATGGCCTTTTTACTCTCTCTGTGTTTCCCTTGTTTTTCTCCTTTCCTCATTTCATTGTGTTCTGCATCAAACCCCCTACATCCCTCAGAGCTGCGAGAAGGTTGGTGTGTTTTTTACTTTTTACCCACCTTACAAAACTCTTAATTAAACCAATAACAAAGAATACAAATGAAATGAATGTAGCTGCATTGTGGTCTTCTTTTGGTTAATGGTATGTTTTAGCAGAGAATGCCCTGGCCATGGCTTCCGGTGCTTGCTGGTGGTATCTAACCGTGGTGCATGATGGGCGAGAATGTACCTGGGTGCATGGTAACTGGTAACACTTAACTCTCTCAGGTCCCATGAACTCGGTCAGTGTTCCTGCTTTCCTTCCTGCTCCACTCTTCCCGTCTCCTGCCTCACCTTAATTTTTGTCTTACAAGGATGCCTGCTGCCCATAGAATGACTTTTTGTAGTTGTTCCCCTAATCCCAAGCATGAAGACTAAACTATCCTCTATTTTCTTGATATGTTCTTTGACACCGTAGAGCCTCCCGTGGCTCCTGCTTGCTTTGTGTAACCTGTGAATTGGCTGCAGGAGGCATGCCTAGCTCTCTCTTCTCCTCTGCCTGTCATTCACCCGTGAGGCCATCACAGCAAGCCCTCTCGAATCAGTGGAGGTTTATCTCAACCTTAATGACAGCCAAAAAGTTTACAGACAGAATTATTTACTTATCATTTTCTTGGGGTTATGAGGTTGTTTGTTTATTGACTTATTTATAATTTAAAAAATCACTTTATTATCCATATTTAAGGTATGCTCCTAATGATTACCTCTTGATCTAAAATACTCTTCGTGTAATGTTTTGCCAATAAGAGCCCAAGATGAAGCCTATTTGTCTCTTGTCCTCTCCTTGTCCAAGACACATGTACTTAAGCACACATAAACATGCAGATTATCTGAAGCAGGAACACTGAACTATAATTGCTTGGTAATTTTTTCTGTGTTGCATTGCTTTCATATGACCTCTTCTCTCAATATCATGTTTCATTGTATGTTTTAGACCCAGTGTCCTTCCAATTGAATATAAGCATAAAAAGCCTCTTACCCGATTTTGTTACCATCATCTATGTCATTTTACCTTAGATATGAACTGAGTGGAATCTTAAATGTGAAATACCCAGCTCCCTTCCTGAATTTGCAATTCTTATCTTTGATAACCTAGCTTAATCTAATGTATTCCTTCTTTGAGCCTTATCATCACTTAAATCCCTGTTTCAGTCACTGTATTTTACCTCCTCCTTTTATGTTTAGTGCCGTTTCCTTGTTATTTCTTCTTTTGTCATTGTTGTCTTGGATTCCAGCCATTTCCCCATTGTCCTAAGCACGGGCCTCGAGACTTCATCTTGTGCATGCCTTGCATGACCCAATCCAGTATCTCTACTGGCATTGGCTTTGTTTCTTCTTCTGTGAGCATAAATTGATATGTGTATATATTTCCGTGTGTGTTCCAGTGTTAGTGGAGGTCTTGAGGCTGCATCCACTCTGAGTCTGAAAGCAAATAAATTGCACTTTCGTGTCCTCTAGATGATGTTTTCCAGGGTTGGGATGTGACAATGTGGTCCCACACATACATTCACATCAACTGGAAGTGCACAGCACTGAAGTTGGTTTTGATACTCAACTTAAACCTGCTGGTGACCTTCCAGCCCCCTTTTCTGCACATACATGCATGCATAAGATCTTTGCTATATACATGCATGTATGTGTTTTGTGTTTATCTTATGCATGATTTTTGTGTATTGTTAGTTTGTAGATAGTTTTTTTTGTTTTGTTTGTTTTGTTTTGTGGGGCCCTTGTAGGTCTGAATCAACTTTTGTATGAATGTGTCTAAGATATCAATGACTAAACTAAATACTTTTTTCTGTGTATACACATACCATACTTGTATGGTCTGTATTATCCATAGTTTTCCTTTGTTTTGTTTTTGGAAAATCCACAATATGTTCCAATTGTTTAATTGTGTTTGTACAGTGCATGTCATATGTTTAACAAGCCACTTTATCTTGCCTTTTATTTTATCATTTTCCCTTGTGTTTTGTTCCAGTTCGCCGTGTCCCACCAAGATTCTCTATCCCACCTACTAACCATGAAATCATGCCAGGTGGAAGTGTTAATATCACCTGTGTGGCCGTGGGGTCACCAATGCCTTATGTGAAATGGATGTTGGGGGCAGAAGATCTGACACCGGAAGATGATATGCCGATAGGAAGAAATGTACTAGAACTGAATGATGTGAGACAGTCAGCAAATTACACCTGTGTTGCTATGTCAACACTGGGTGTCATTGAAGCAATAGCACAGATCACTGTCAAAGGTACGCTTAATGGTTTTTGCTTTGAGGGTCTGGGTACATTCAAGTCTCCTGACTAATGTCCCTACAAAGTCTACCCTTGAAATTCTAAAATGAATCAATTCATCTGAGTTCAGTTGTCAAAGTCTAATCATATTTATGGTATCGTTTAAAATACACGTATCTAGGTAAGGAGATTCTTAAAAGGACTGATAGCCTAAGTAATGATAATCATCAGTATATTTAACAATACGCTGGGCAGGAGCACTAACCAGGCAGAATGAGAAACGTTAGACACTATCAACCAATATGATAGAACTGATGCAAACAGGTTTCATATTAATCCAGAACTCTGGTGAGAGTACATGATAGAAAAATGCAAGTAAGTATTAATAAATGCTCAAATCCATGAGGGCAAAAGAAAAAGAAAGAGAGAATTAAATCAACATGATCTAATAATAGATGTTTTAAAATTTTGATGGGTCTTGTCATTAAAAATCAAAATGTAAGTGGCATTATGTTCTATTTTAACTTTACCTCTTATCTTCTATACATGAAGTGCTCAAAAAATATTATTTTATTTAAGTGCACTAAATGTAACCAAAGTTACAAATATCACAAATATTTTTAAAACAAAGAAAACAAAAGTAAGTGTCTGGGGTACCAATTGTTTTTATAAGTTTTTATAGAATTCTTGAACACTTTTGTAAAAAGGGTCAGACTGAAGATGACTTTAGGTTCTTGCAAATGTCTGGAACTATTGCAAAAATGAACACAAATTATCTTTGCTTTCCAGGAAGTATGATCCTAAAAAATGTAACACACATGTTGTAATTGGTGTCATATCCCCCACCAAGCATATATATCAAATATATGCAATATAAAAAGCAATAATGTGACATGAGAACAAAAGTACATGCCATTGTCAACATTTTAGTCATTTAAAATAGTAATGTTGTATTGGATATCCATAACTATATTAAGCATACTTACACCTATCCATACAGTATAGGCACAAAACCTATACTGTACAATAAATGTGATAGCAAAGCTAACGTCTGTTAAGTATCAGTAAGCACACCTTTAATTAGCAATATTTTTACTTACCTTAATAATTCAGAAACACTTCTAGGGAAAATTTGGATCATCTACTTTTTGAAAAATGTCAGTCCAGTATATTTGAACATTTGTTCAAATGTCTTTTTATTATTATTTTCAGAAAATCCCTTGGCTAAATATTATCATTCTATAGTTCTTAGAGTAATATGCAAATATTGAATCACCTTTCTTATAATAACTATTTCAGTTTCAAATATTTGAAGGTTTACTGAAGACCTTCAAGAATTCAAAATCAGGAATCACATTAACTAATAATATCTTGTTCAACTTCTTATCTTTGTTTTCCAGGCTCTTGCCATTCCCTACCCTCTCCACCTCAAAAATAAATAAATATAAGGGTGAATCCTGTAGGCAGAAAAGTAAATCAAAACAAAAAGAGCAAGTGGAAGAGAGTGAGGATGTATCACAACTCATTCATTGAGTTAGGTGTTCATTCAGTTAACACTGCTAGGCAGTATTCTAGGTATTAGAGATACACGTGTAATCAAGTACAAATTTGCAACTCTTGAAAAGCTGCCATTCTAGAGAGTATTATACTTTTTGCCTTTATGTTGACAAGGAAAAAGAGTATGAAAGGGCTGATCATATGAATGTTACATTCTGGGTTTTCTCCCAAAAGTTAGGTGGTAGCTATAATTTCAGGTATTATTGATATTGAATATAGACTGCACATTATGATAGTAAACTGCTTTAAAAAGTTATTTGTGAATATGCTTTAATTTAGTTCAACATTTTTGAATATTAGCTAAAAACATGAATTTAAAATTAGTCAATTTGAAATTTACTATTCTTTCTTACCTTAAAATTCTTGGTTAGATTATTTTTTTTAAGATTTTATTTATTCATTTGAGACAGAGACACTCAGACAGAGAGCATGAGTGGGGAGAGGGGAAGAGGGAGAGGGAGAGGGAGAAGCAGGCTCCTCGCTGAGCTGGGAGCCAGACTCCATCCCAGGACCTGAGGATCATGACCTGAGCCAAAGGCATCGATGCTTAACCATCTGAGCCACTCAGGTGCTCCTAGATAATTTTTTTTTAATTATAGTAATATTATCTATGTCTTATAACTGGAAAACAATATGGATATTATTCTTCCATAGTGATTTAATGCCATTTGAATATATAACAAATTGTGTTCTTTTCAATGTTGGTATTTAGTTATATCATGTATTTCCTGAAGCAAGAAGCTAATTGGCCAAACTCTTGGTTATAATAATAGTAATAATTGCAATTAATGTTTTTTGAGGGTGCTGGATACATTCTGAGAGCATTACTGGAATAGCTCATTAATCTTCACAGCAAACTCATGAAATACAGTTACCCAGCTGTACAATACAATCCAGTGGTAGCTCTTCCCATTTTCCACATGTGAAAACTAAAGCAAAAAGAGGTTATGCAATGCATCCAGGATCACATAACTAATAACTGGTGGATTTGAATACAAGCCTCAAATTACAGTGCTCTAATGTGCTTCTAGCAAAAGGAGATTTGTCCCCTATGCATCTTACTATACATCCTACCCACTTAGAAAACAATCTTTTGTTATTTAATCTAATCAAATCTTCAGTAGATAACATGATTCTGTTATTCCATTAGTAGAGTTTATGGATCTTTGTAATATCTTAGAGCTGTCCTTTTTTTCTCCCCCTAAGCCTTACCCAAACCTCCAGGAACTCCTATAGTGACCGAGAGCACAGCCACAAGCATCACATTGACATGGGACTCTGGGAATCCTGAGCCTGTCTCTTACTACATCATTCAACATAAACCTAAAAATTCTGAGGAACCTTACAAAGAAATTGATGGGGTGGCAACGACACGCTACAGTGTCGCTGGACTAAGTCCCTACTCGGATTATGAATTCAGGGTTGTTGCTGTCAATAACATTGGGCGGGGACCTCCCAGTGAGCCTGTGCTAACACAAACCTCAGAACAAGCACCATCCAGTGCCCCACGGGATGTGCAGGCGCGGATGTTAAGTTCAACCACCATTTTGGTACAGTGGAAGGAACCTGAAGAACCAAATGGACAGATCCAAGGATACAGAGTTTATTATACAATGGATCCCACTCAGCACGTCAACAACTGGATGAAGCATAATGTAGCTGACAGCCAAATCACTACTATTGGCAACTTAGTGCCCCAGAAAACATATTCTGTCAAAGTTCTGGCTTTTACCTCAATTGGAGATGGTCCTCTTTCAAGTGACATACAAGTCATCACTCAGACAGGAGGTAAGTCTGGTTCTGATGGAGAGTAAGGAAGGAGGGAAGGAGTAGGTGCTAAGAGGTGTGAATGGTGAAAACAAAAGAAAGGACAAAGATAAGTATGAATTTTAATTTTTGAGACTTAGAGTTTCTAAATGAGAGGTTGAGATAAGACATCTGGAGCAGAACAGGCATGGGTACTGAAAGACTAAGTAATACTTTTAAGTAGAGGGATGCATTTAGCATTTTTTTTTAAAAATTTGTACCCAAATGACTTGAAGATTTTTCTGAATGAGATGGATGAGTGCATCCTCCATGCAGCATTTTGAGAATAGAACTATCTTGCTTTATACTAGTGACTCTGATAGAATACTCTTACAAAATTATTTAACTTATGAAAGATTGGGTGGTTCAAGATAAACTTAAAAATAAAACCATTTGTCAGGGGGCCTTACACATTTAAATGTCTTCTATTTTCCAAGCAACTACCCACTAAAAATACTCTCCTAATGGATTTTTGAGTTTTTTTTTCTTTGTATGGCTTCATGGGTGGAGAAAGACAGTTATCAAGATCCTAGATCAAACTTTAGGGCCTCAGTGACTCATTTTACTGGGCATTCGGGCAAACATCACACTATTTTATGGAGAAACACTTGGCCTTTCCAGTGGTTTTGTTTTCGTAAGCAGATATAAGACCTCTGGTCTTTGATTCAGAGTGATCAATTTTGCCTTAGGTTGAGAATATGACATAGCAACTTTCTTCTAAAGTTTATTCTTGAACATCTGAGAGCTATTAATTTGACTCCTATGAGGTGTTGGTGCCTCATAACTTGCGTTAATCTCAGTGTTTTGGCAGTATGCTATTGGTTTGTTCTGAGAATCTACATAAAAACCATATTATTAAGAAACATATTATTGGACAGAGTAGTTATAATCTGTAGGTATAACTCATTGGTAACCTTGGGAATGAATTTTCTGAGGTGTCAGAACTAGATAAACCTATGTTTAACCCTGACTTGTTTTCATGTTTCATGTCTTATGAATCATGTCACTGAGGGTGTTTACCTATTTTCCCTGGCTACTGGAGATCTCAGAACATATTTACAGCCTGCCTGACTTTGTTTTATTTTTTATACTGTTGTTGTGTTCTTGCTGTTTGCTCATGGATTTATTATTTTGTCTAATAATATGAAGTATAGCTATAAAAAATATACCTTATCACAATTATACTAAAAAACATTCATATATTTTCCCTACTTGGCTTTTGCAGTTCTTCTGTACTTATTTGCTATATTAATATACAGAAAAACACTGTAGATTAATTTTTCTATATATCTCATATTGGAAAATGTAGAAATCTGTGTATCTTGTTCTTTTTCTTGACTAAAACTGGTCAATTGTTATGAGATTATTTTTTATTACACTATTTTAGCAGCTCTCTAACTATTTAAAGATAACAGAAAATATATACTAAGAACATATACCTGTGATCCACTTTTAGTTTTTCTGATTTTTCAATGGTGATATATTTTTTAAAGATTCATTTATTTGAGAGAGAAAGAGAGAAGAGAGAGGGTGAGAGAGAGGCGGGGAGGGGCAGAGGGAGAGAAACTCAAACAGACTCCCTGCTGAGCATGGAACCCAGACACAGGGCTCAATCATACCACACGTGAGATCAGGACCTGAGCTGAAATCACTAGTCAGATGCTTAACTGACTGAGCCACCCAGGTGCCCCTCAGTGGTGATATTTTAAAAATCCCTAGTCTTGGAGTAATATAACCAGAGTTTGAATCCTGGTCTAGCATTTTTAGCTCTATAACCTTGGACAAGTTACTTCATTTCTCTGAACTTCAGTTTTCTCATCATCAAAAATAATAACCACCTTATAGAATTTAGAGGTGGTATTTGGTTTCTACGGCTGCTGTAACAAAATACCACAGACTGGTGGCTTGAACAGGAATTTACCGTCTCTCCATTCTGGTGGCTAGAAGTCTGAGATCAAGGTGCATGGAATTGGTTCTTTCTCAGGGCGTCTTCCAGGCCTCTCTCCTAGCTTCTGTTGTTTTGCTAGTAATCTTGGCTGTTCCTTGCTTTGGAGAGGCATCACCCTGATCTCTGCCTTCATTGTCACATTGTGTTCTTCCCGTGTGTGTGGCTCTCTGTCCAAATTCCCCCTTTTCATAAGGATTTCCATCATAATGGATAAGGGCCCAACCAAGTGACCTCATCTTAAATAATTACATCTGCAAAAATCTTATTTCCAAATAAGGTCACATTCTAAGGGTTAGGAATTCAATATATGAAATTTTGTGGGTTACACTTCAACCCATAATAGTGCTATAAATTAGGTAATGGATAGAAACATTTTATAATTTTAATAAGTAATATATAATCATCATCATAATAAAAACAGCTACATATGCTGGATACTCTGCTGTAAACTTTGCATGTATCAATATAACTACCCAGTTAGGTAGATGTGGAATTACCCCATTTTCCAATGAGTAAATTGAGGATTGAAGAAGATTCAGGAACTTGTTTTTCGGTCATAAGGTTGGTAAGTGGGAAAGCAGAATTTAAATCCAGGTACCTTAGCTACTTTAAAGCATCATTATTTTCAAATTAATAATTTGCTTTTGTGATAGTTTCAGTGCCTGCTAGATTTTTGTGCCCACCAGGTGCTCAATAAATAGAGGCAGTAAACACAGTCATTCATTTATTCATATCTTTATTTAAGAATTATATGTAATTTAACCTTTGAAATACTTGAGGTAGCTATTATATTATCCTAGTACAAAAGTACATTAAAACATTTAGATGTAAAAAAAAATAAGCTTATCTGAAAGTAGTGAAAGGTATACCACTTTTCACAGGTTATTATACTTGATCGCCAAATTTGGTGTTAAGTTTTCAAACCACATATTTAAACATAAGAATCCATAATGTTTTATAACTTTTTTTTGTCTGATACCAGGAAGATTTAGGTATCTTAGACACCAAATACTTCCTGGAACTAAATTCAACCAAATTGTAAGAATCCTTGGGAATAATGAGAATCTTTATATTCAGAACAGAGAAGACAGACAGTAATGATCTTGGTCACAGTTTATTGACAGATATAGAACTGATGTTTAAATAGACCTACAAATAGACCATATTTTGGTTTTCTGTATCACCAAGGGACATAATATGACATAAGCCATAACTCAGTTAAGGCAGTGCTACAACAGGGAATATTGAGTTAATGTGATCCAAGGACTCTGAACTTAGAAGAATCTGAATGAATGGGTCACAGATGCATTAGAAGAGTTATGCCCAATCTGTGATATTTTTACATTATTTCCAAGAACCTTGTATAATAGTTGTACTTCTATATCCATTGATTGAGAAGATATATAATGACATAATGACTTGTGCCTGCCAAATCAATAGGCTAAGAAAACCTTCCAAAATAGCACAATGATTTGATCTGTTCCCTAGGCTTAATTAACAAAGGCCATTTGATGTTAGTGGACACCTGCCAAATACAGTGATGTTAGTTCTAATATAATTAATGCTGAGCTGCTCCTTTTTTTTCTTGCTAACTATTTCTTAGAATCATAGCTAGGGAAAAACATAAAATCATTATGAGATATTCTCTTAGAGAGGCTATAGAAAATTTGAGGATATAATTATTTTCACTGCAATTTTATTTTTCCCAAACCTATGAAAATTTACTAAGATATATAAATTTCTCAAGTATATTTTAATTTCATATATACAAAGATATAAATTTCTATGTCTTCTATATCTGAAAGCAGTTCATTTCATTTTTTATCTTTAATTTGCTGGCACTAATAGTCCTGTTTTTGTTTAAAATTGGACTCTGAAAAAAGAGTATGTAGTAAAAAATTGACTTTAAGAGGGAAGTTGTAACTTTTGATCTCATCTAAGATTACTGTTAACATATAGATGTAAATGGAGAATTGATAGCAATTTATGTATTTCTGATAATGTAGAAAATCGATATATGATCTATTTATAGTCAATAATATTTCCCCTTAATCATGACTATTCATACAGTTGATAATATTAAGTAATTTTTAAGTGGTTTTCGATATGAAAATATCTTGGTTAAAATAATTATGTTCTAGAAACACAGGTTAATCTTCCAGTTTTTCCACAGCTTTAACTCTTGGCATTACAGTCACTTGCCACTAATTTACCTTAAAAATGTGGAGAATGCAGTATATATGCCATTGTTAAGGGAAGAATTTATATTGTGCTAGAAAAAGATTTCTGCTATTAGAATACACATTTTGAAAGGATGCCTTTTTATATAGTTTTCTTGTATAGATAATTATAATAAGAATATACAGTAACTATATTGTATAAAAGAAGTACAAATAAAACTGTGATAAAGAATGTAGTGAATTACATCTAAAACCTAATGCCCTAAAATGTTGCCTGATGTTCATGCTATTTGGAGCCATTCTAAATCTGTTAAATCCTAATGTCTGTTTTTTTTTTCTTTCTTTAGAAAACATATCTGACCTCTAATTTTCTGTGCATTTAACAGATTCTTGGAAAAAGATTCTTGATTTCTATGTGTATACATTAATAGTATAGGCCTCTGGAAGGAAAAGAATTATGTATATCTACTAAATAAATACTGAGTACCAACTTTAAACTTTTTGAAGAAGCTAATTCTACTCCAAATTCTGGGCATTGCAGAATTGTTATTTAAAAAAAATAAAAAGTAAAAACAACAACAACAACAAAAAACTATGACATTTAGAGACATGACGGTTTAGGTTTCCAGAACTTACTAAAGCATTTCATTAGTATATGTCAACAGGCCTGAATAAGCAAACTAGAAAAAGACTGATTTCCAATTTCCCAAGTTATGAGTCCAATTTAAATTCATTCTTAAAATAATTTTGGCAAAGGAGCTAAAAGGAATCTTAGTAAAGAAGCTCTAGATGTAAATACAACTCTAATAAAATTTAACTTTTCACACGATATTTAATGACAATTGAGAGTAAGATGTGTGCAGGTGCTTGTGTATTAAATACTTATTTTATCAATGATATATTTTTGGCACTTACAAATCAGACTCCTTGTTTTGAATTTTGTTTTGTTTTACTTCCTCTGGTGTTGTTTTGTTTTACTAATTCTGGTGTTGCTTTTATTATTGTTATCATTTATTAAAATGCTAGATATATTTTCAAAAGTGTGCCTTATTAAAGAACTAAGTATTTTCACAATAATAGGTTTCCTACTTTCTCTGATAATATTTCGTATTTATAATATGGCTAAGCGAAATTGTTGGCTAGCCATTTACTACATGTTAACCCCTATCTCTTTGGAGATATTTGCTTAATTTTACTTAAGTATTGATATCTTCTAATATTATCAGCATTTCAGATGACATACAGATACTCCCTTCATCTCTCATTCATTCTCTATTCTCTATCTTTGAGTTGCCTTCAGGTATTTATATGGAGTATAATAGTAGTACTACTCAAATACTTTACATTCATCAATGGGTTTATAATCTTATTTTAGAGAATTGATAGCTAATATTTGTATTTCCTTGTGGACATTAAGTTATCAAGAAGAAAAGCATAATGTTGACACCACTTTACAGAATACAAACATTTCTTAAATATAGTTTTAAGGAAAAATTATAAGTTCTACCTTCATTTCCTCTGCCCACATCTAAATTCTAAATTTGGTTTATGGTCAATAATATCACATCTCTCTTGCTAATGAAGAATGATTGCACTGAAGTTTCTGGATGGGCTTTTTAAATTTTTCCCATGAGTTTCCAGAATCTCAGAGTTTCCTATAAAATTTATGTTCAGTTAATTGGTGAGGGAAATGCTATAACACAGAAAAGCTCTTAAATAAAAGTAAAATAGACACAGGCAAAGAAGAAGTGAAGATAAAAGAATGCCAGTAAGGTTGGGGTGTAAAGACTGTGAGAACATTTGAAGAGAGAGAGAGAAAGAGGAGGGAAGGAGGGGGTAGATAATACAAACATAAATGTTAATAGAATCTGAAGCCACCATAATTGATATACAAGTCTAACAGAACATGAAGTACTCCCTGTGTTTCCAAATAGTACAGAGAAATAAGACCATTTGGAGCTCCCTAAAGTGCTTCTTCATATATATATATTATGATCATTAGGACTACTATGTTTGAGGAATGTAAAAATAAATCCATTAATTTCACAGCTTTTTTCTTTTACTTTGATGCCGCAGTTTTATTGTGGTTGTTTCAACTATGGCTAAATGACTCTGAGGAAGCATCTCTAAGTGAATCTTCAATTCCCAGGGAGATCTAAGTAGTGGCACCTTAAGGTGTTTATGAACATAGAGCCTGATATAATAAAAAGGTCTTTTAAAGCACTGGTCCATTTGCTGGATTTCGCCTGTAGACATAATTTGCCCCCTATCGTGTTTTTCAATTAATTTAAATTAATTCAATTATTTCCAATGGTTAAAAATGGAAATATTTCACCTAGAAGATTCACTATCAACTTCTGTTGAAAAATCAGAAGTTTAGGCAAGCTTTGACCAACATTCCACAAAGCTGCAATCTGCTGGTGCCGAATACTACCAACTCCTTCAGGTGGGCCAGGCACTCTCCCATTGGCCCCATACCCCACCTGGTCTCTAAGTGATCTGCCTGATACCTCTGGACATTTTTATTTCTTTTTTCTTTTTTTTTTTTAAGATTTTATTTATTTATTTGAGAGAGAGAGTGAGAGAGCTCAGGAGCAGAGGGGAGGGGTAGAGGGAGAAGCAGGCTGAGCAGGGAGCCTGATGTGGGACTGGATCTCAGGACCCTGGGATCATGACCTGAGCTGAGGGTAGACTCTTAACTGACTGAGCCACCCAGGTGCCCTGGGCATTTGTACTTCTATCACAAGTTTAACATCTAGTAAATTAAATTACCCTCCAGACCACTTCAAAAGAAGGGCAAGATAGAAGCCAAGGAGGAGAACCTTGTATATATTATTTGAAGTCATCTGACCACTACTTATTTTGTCCAAGAATAAAATGAAATGTACACCCCCTGAAGCTTTGAACCTGTTTAATTCATTATTTAGAGGAAGAGGTGTCTTAATAGAATTGGAGGGTCAGATGAAGTTTATCTCACTAAACAAGGATGAAACATTGAGACCCACTGGGAATTTGTTCAAGACAAATTAAAAGCAAAAAAAGTAAACAGGTTAAATAAGAAAAAGTTAATTAGATTCCCAAGATGTTTTCAATCAATGTCAATTTATTATTAGCATTAGGCAGGGAGGAAATACATAACAGGCAATTATAATCCTGAGAGTAGCCCTTCAGTTCTGTCCATGTTTTTAATTCTTGACAATACTGTGTTCCAGTTTGGTCTAAGTCAGGAGTTATCATAAGGCTTTCTTCTTTCTCAGATTTGTGGAAGTTGGGAGAAAGAAAAAAAGGAAACAAAAGTAGAGAGAGAGAAGTGACCACACACATATGCATATGTGTGTGTATTTTTAGGCTGAGAACCCCTGTAATCATCTGAATATTAAAATCCAATCATAACTTCCCCATCTGTCTGATTGTTCTTGGCTTCCATTGTTGCTCCTGCCAGGCTTTTGGTATTTCCTGTTTAGAACTAATGCGTTCTCTATTTGCTTTGCTATTTTCCTGTTTATTTTTCCCCTCTTCCCCCCGCCCCCCACCAACCCTTGCTCTTGATCTTTGATCTTTTCTTGTCTCCATTTCTCAAGCTGGATGATTGTGTTAGGTCTCTCACTGGGCGAGTACTTACAGAGAAAAAAAAAAAAAGATACCTTGTTTAGAAAGTATGTTCACAGAGCCATCAAATTAATGAGTATCTCAAGGCCTGTGATAAAAAAGGAGAAAAGATGATGAATGCAATTAAAAATAAGAAGAACTGACTATCGGTTGCCTTATGCATCAGTCCAAACATGAAATTGTATGCCTGCACATAAGGTACATACACGCACATGCCCACACTCACACACACACACACACACACAGGTTAACACACCAGACAGAAGAATAAAATAGGAATACTGGAAACCGTTCTGGTAGATCTGTTTAGACTTTGATCTCTTTTTAAATAAAAGACTATTTTAGTCATATTACAGAGAGATGACTTTTATAGAAAAAGAAAAAAAACATTTTTTATTTCCAAAATCTTCTTACTAAGGAAAATGATGCTTCAAGTATTGTTTAAGAAATTGAGGGCGCCTGGGTGGCTCAGTTGGTTAAGCGACTGCCTTCTGCTCAGGTCATGATCCTGGAGTCCCGGGATCGAGTCCCACATCGGACTACCTGCTCAGCAGGGAGTCTGCTTCTCCCTCTGACCCTCTTCCTTCTCGTGCTCTCTATCTCTCATTCTCTCTCTCTCAAATAAATAAAATCTTAAAAAAAAGGAAATTGAAGATATACATCAGTTACAAAGTATATTATTTTCCTAAGTTTTTCAGTGTTTATGCCCATTCACCAAAAACACTTCACATGTTTTTTTTTCCCTCTAGTATAAAGTATTATTTTTCTTGTTTTTTATTAAATATACACAGAATATACTTGTGAGAATATGGGCATATGGTCAGCTATAGCACTTTAAGATGCGCCACAGTATCAGGGGTAATGATCAAAATAGTTAATGGCCAGCATGGCCTGGGCACCAACCGATCAGAACAGACACTGGCCAAGGACAAAGTAAGGTTAGCTGGGTCAGTGATGCCCTGAACTACATTACCCTTATGTATAAGGGATAGAGGACCTAATGGGATTTGATGTTAACCAGGAGGTTGGGGTTAGTAAAACCTCTTCTAATACAGAATTTGAGTAAAGTGTTTTAAACTGGATATATGTCCCATTCTTTAATACATCTGACACATAGCTCTTTCAAATTGTCTATTGCATGGGTTTTAATGACAAATATGAGAATTATACATGACATCTGCTAAATTACTGTATGTCTGATAATAAACATATTCTCTAAACTTTTTAATTTGTGTAGTAACTTAGCTCCATCTCACTAGGGACAAGTGAGGGTCCTGTGATCCAGTCCTACTTCAGGCTCCTTGCTCAGTGGGGAGCCTGCTTCTCCCTCTGCTTACCATTCCCCCTGCTTGTGCTCTCTCTCTGTCACTCGCTCTCTGACAAATAAATAAAATCTTTTTAAAAAGAAAGTCAATTAGGGAGTAGAAGTAATTATTTATAAGGGATAGTTTTTTTTTTTTTAACCTCTTTTTCAAAATGTGGGGTTGGTGAGAAAAATACCACGTGATTCCGGTTTACCAGTAGGTTTTGTTAATGGAGTAAAGGTGGGATTTTATAAACCTAATCGGAAATAATTTTGAAAGTTAAATGCAATGCTAGAGAACAAGTTCTTGGTTGTAAAATAACAGTGGATTTTATGTATATAGCACTTGTTATGATTTAGACAATATTGATTCCAAGTGTATTATATAAATCATCTCACTTATTATGTACAATATTATGAAATAACCTTATTATTCGTGAGATCAGATTTATTATCAGATTTATGTTCTATTCTGTGTTTGATAATTCTGCATCTTGTATAGATTTTAAACTGATCAAGAACAAGTGCAGTGTCATCGCTTCTCGGCCTTTTGGCTAAGATCAAGTGAAGAACAAGTGCAGTGTTAAAAATATTCTTATACCTTGAAGGAGGAAAAATGGACTATAAACAATGTTAAGGACCTAGCTCTTCATTAAGCTACACATGTGGACACGTTTTGAGAGGTTTAAACAGATGCACTAATGGAAGGGTTTTGAATACTCATGGTGATGATGAACTCAGTCCTTTGCCTTCCTGTTTTTAGTACCAGGGCAACCACTAAACTTCAAAGCAGAACCTGAGTCTGAAACAAGTATTTTGCTGTCTTGGACACCTCCACGTTCAGACACCATTGCCAACTATGAACTGGTCTACAAAGATGGGGAGCATGGCGAGGAGGTAAGACTGATTCTCACCTTCTGATCATTCACTATCCTGGGGCACTACTCTACTTTTGTGTATTCGCCCAGGTTCTGCCAAAAGGTCAAATATCTATAGAGCACTTTGGTGGGAAAGATTTATTCCTCAAAAAAGGAACTTGACCAAAAAAACAGAATATTGATTTCAAGCCTTTGGGGGTAGAATGAGGCAAACACCAACAACAAAGCAGCTGTTATCCCTATTTCCAGGCTTCCAAGCTTCTTCTGAAAGTATCTAAAAGAATATACCCCATGAGACTTAGGGACTTCCTTTCTTTCTCTTCTGCACTAGTGTAATTAAGCCATATAGTACTTAAGTTAAATGACTTCCAAGGCTTTGGATGGATGAATTTTTCCAAACTGGTTTCAGAGAAAGAGGCCCTGCAGCAAATGTTTATTTGTATGCCAAGAGTTATTTGATATGAATGAGAGTATATATAATATTTGAGTATGCTATGCAAATAAAATAATTGTAAAATGAAAAAGTCTGGCAATTATTGATAGTTACTGAAAAGAGAAACCAAATCAATATAACTAATGCATATATTAAGAGGTATAGTAAGGATTTCACATATATTAACTCATTCAGTTCTTACAGTGGTGTCATGAGTAAGTTCTTACTTTTAATTGATTTCACATATAAAAAAATGAAGGCACAGAAAAGGTAAAAGAGATTCCCCCAAATCTCACACTACTGAATGGCAGAACTGGGATTTGAAACTCTAGGCAGTCAGGTTCCAGAATCTATCTTTTTAACCAATAGGGTATATACTGCCTCTTGGGTGGTGTACTTTGTATAAACTATAGAAATCGGTACTAAGATGCATCTAACAATTTCAGGATGGGAATATATGATAGTAATGAATGTATTTCTTTTGTTACTGTGACATCCAGGCTGGAACATTAGGACAAAATGTTGGTGAAACTACATGTGAAAACTCAATCCACACAAGTCATTTTATTGTACCTCTTAGTATTCTTTATCTTAAAAAAGATCTTTACAAAGCTAGGTAGCCCCTAACTTCTAACAGAAATACCTTTTTTTTTATACTCACATACTAAATGAAATATTATCAGTTAACTTACGGTATATCATTCTGAATACTGTAATAAATTAATATGTTCCTATAAACTTCTGTCTTTACAGCTGTTTGAATTGAGCAGAATCTCCGAAGACCAGGTTCTAAATGCAATGCTTTTAGAGTTAGCTAACAAAGCCAATATGAATTAAAGCACTCAAAAAGTATATAATTGAAATGCTGCTATAACTTAAAGTACTCATGTTACCACTATTGATGTTTTTATTAAGACGTAATTCAACATTAATTTATTTTAAATCTTTGCCATTACCCAACTGAAAAACAAATAAAATTAAAACATTGCAGGAGAGTGGCACTCCTTTGAGAATGCTGTAGATGTAGGTGCTTGAATGTTGGTGCACCTACTCTGTTTTACAGTTGTTTCTTTGGGGATTCCGTTTTTATATACCATTTGGGAAATCTAAAATTTCTAAAAGCTTTTGTATTTGTGAGCCAGAATACCCTCAGGATGTTTTCTCTAGTTTTATATTTGAATTCCCCTTGAGTGATTTCTGTTTGTGTGAACAGCAAACCCTATTCGTTGAAAAGCCTTAAGATTATTTATGCCATTACTAGATTACATAATAGTGTGTATTTTAAGGCTTACTACAGGCTAATGTTCAATCTGAGATTGATTACCCATAGCTCTATTTTTGCTAAAATGCAAGTCAAATTTTAAGCATGAAGAGTACGAGTTACAACATTCAATTAAAGAAACCTTATTTCAAAAGCCCTTTATGACGTTAAAATTTGCAGAAAAGTTTGTGACTTTTTTTCTAGCTGCGTGCTCTGTAGTCACAAAGAAAGAAAGTTTTAAAATGATTTTAAATCAGTCTAGAGTGATGGTATGGTTTCATATAAATTTTCCAGCTAACAAACATCTGATTTTTATCCCATCAGAACTTTGCAATTTCAGATCTCTTGTAGCAATGTCATAGAAACTGTACACCGGTTTCTGTTGCTACTTCTGGCCACATCTTCTTTGCCCTAATTTAAATTGCAGAAGGTCATGGGAGATGAGCAAGACAATCTCTTCACTTGAAATTGGCACACATTGGCCAGACTCCACCATCAGGGGCAGGTGTCAGTGTCTGTTGTGGGCTTTGTCTCAGCAACACATGCACCTTAATGTACAACATGCTTATGGGTGGTGGCCTCTCAATCTCCCTCTTTTTTTTTAATTTTTTTATTGTTATGTTAATCACCGTATATTACATAATTTGTTTTGGTGTAGTGTTCCATGATTCATTGTTTGTTCATAACACCCAGTGCTCCATGCAGACTGTACCCTCCTCAATAGCCATCACCAGGCTAACCCATCCACCCACCCTCCTCCCCTCCAGAAACTTCAGTTTGTTTTTCAGAGTCCATCATCTCTCCTGGTTCGTCTCCCCCTCTGACTTACTCCCCTTCATTCTTCCTCTCCTGCTATCTTCTTCTTTTTCTTTTTTCTTAAAATATGTTGCGTTATTTGTTTCAGAAGTACAGATCTGTGATTCAACAGTCTTGCACAATTCACAGCGCTCACCATAGCACATACCCTCCCCAATGTCCATCACCCAGCCACCCCATCCCTCCCACCCCCGACCACTCCAGCAACCCTCAGTTTGTTCCTGAGATTAAGAATTCCTCATATCAGCGAGGTCATATGATACATGTCTTTCTCTGATTGACTTATTTCACTCAGCATAACACCCTCCAGATCCATCCACGTCGTTGCCAATGGCAAGATCTCATTCCTTTTGATGGCTGCATAATATTCCTCAATCTCCCTCTTACTTGATGCATTTGGCCACTGCATTATCATTAGAAAGATCTCTGGCTTCCATTGTTCTGGTTGCCTTCGTTATAGGAATTTTCCTTTAAACACTGATATTTTCTTTGTATAGTTCCCCTGGTAGAGTCCTAGATTCTCACTGTTGATTCTGTTTGTGATATTTTGATGACTTTACAACTCCAATGACAAACATCTGAGGTTGCAGGCAGTGTGCTAAAAATATTTGCATGAATCTTAATGAAAATGACCCAGTTCTTTTGATACTTATCCACAGCAACGGATTACCATTGAGCCTGGGACATCTTATAGACTGCAAGGGCTGAAACCCAACAGTTTGTACTACTTCCGTCTGGCCGCACGCTCTCCTCAAGGCCTGGGTGCTTCCACAGCTGAAATATCAGCCAGAACCATGCAGTCAAGTAGGTGTCTCTCTTTGCTTACTTTCTGCCCTTTTTCGTTAGGGGGTGTTGCAGCCTTCCCCACTCCCCAGCCAACAAACAAATCGGCTAATTAATAAGTTAGACAGTCAGTAGTTTCTATGCTAGTAAGCATCCAACTTTGGGGATTACAACCATGACCTATGTTGGTTTCCAACTTGGTCCAAATAACAGATCCCATTCTCTCCCTTCCTAAACTGAAAGAAGTCGGAGGAGTTAGAAGACTTCCGTCAGGAAAATGAATGAAAGTTCCATCAGGCCCTGTGTAATGATTTATAACCAGCAATATTCTGGTTGAAAACACTGCCAAATAATCACAAGAGGGCTTAACAAACTAAAGAGGTAAAAAAGACCAAACTTGTAAGCTTTTTAGGCACACAGGTGTTTTTTTTTTTAAGTTTATTTTTATTTATTTGTTTGTTTGTTTATTTTAGTGGGGGGGTGGGAGAGGGACAAATGGAGAGAAAGAGTCTTAAGCAAGCTCTACAGCCGCACAGAGCTGGATGTGCGGCTGGATCTCACGAACCTGAGATCATGACCTGAGCTAAAATCAAGAGTCGGATGTTTAGCCAACTGAGCCGCCCAGGCGCCTCCTAAGCACACAGGTTTTAACTTTGCTAACAAACAGGTTTTTATTTCATGTATTTATTTCTACTCAGAGAAGAACTCAGCTCTTGTGACTACTTTGTTACTAACTCCTCAAGTAGTACATGTGGAAATTTGGAACATTCGTAGAAAATCTGTGTTTGGGCAAATTTAGGAACAATGGAATAATCACAAGTACATTTGCAATCCTAAATTGTATTTTGTTTCCTCAGGTTCAATTTCTTTTTGGAACTGTTGCCCTAGAGCATAGTTGTGTTTATCACAATGGGGGTTCATTGTGTCCAGGGAAGATTGCTTTGTGTAAAGTATTATATGGAAGTTTATTTTTGATGGAAAGTTTGGTGACTTATAATAATACTATGGTTTCCTCTTTAATAGTAAGTTTCTATAATTAGTCTATTAAACAACCATTGACTTTGAATTGAACAGTTTTATGGAGTTATTTCCCTAGGTTTTTTTTTGATACTTTATATTTTATATGTGATTTTTAATAGTTATATATGCAGTAGATATGTGTAATCTCAATACATTGAATTGTGTAAAGAGGATGCTCACTGACCTAAATATTAGACCTAGCAGCAAACATGAAATTTATATTTTCTAAAAAATGAATTTTCTTTCATATAAGCAAGTCTATATTCTATAGAAATTTAAAATCTTTCAGGGTTTTTTGAAAATAAAAGTTATATTCTTTCTCTTTCTCAAAACATGCCTGTTGGTACAAAAAGTATTAGGATCCTATTACTTAATCCATTAGTGATTATGGTCTATTCCCATAAAATTCCCTTTCTTTTAAAAAATGAAGCATGTAAATTAATGCAGTTTTGTATTTGCCTTTGAATTCCAGGCAGACTAGTAAGTAATATTGTAGAAGATAACTCTTAAACTCAGACATTTAATTAAAAGAAATGTGACATGCTTCAATATCCTGTTTTGCATGGTTTACAAAACTGACTCTTTTGCATGCATGCTACATACCTACCTATTTACATACATAGAGACAGAATGGACATTTTATAACCACATCAAAAGCTTTCCTACTTTTTATTTTATTAAAGTAAAACATTCAAGAGATGTTGAATATATTCTCACAGAATAGGAGGTCTGAAAGTAGCAATGTAGTAAAAACCAAATCAGCTTTTTAAAAAGAATTACAAATGAGTCCTTACTGTTACATGAACAACTCAATTTATTATGAATAATGATAATGCATATGAAATAGTTTTATAATTTGAAACATAAGAACATGTAGTCAGAATCAATAAAGATGATAGGTATTCTCGTGATTTTGCAAATCTTACTCCAAATTTTCAAGATTGTTGTATGAGAATTTCCTTTTCGTCAGTACAGGGAGCTTTCATTTTGATTGACAATCATGAAGAACCCAAGACACGTAAATTAAAAAAGACTGATAATCCTGTAAACAATTGAATACATCTGACACTACATAATATTAAGACCCACAAGGTCTAAGGAAATACCCAAGCTACATATTCACAACACAAAATTAGAAATGAGTTACTCATTCTACCACATCAATTGCCTTAAAATAAATAAATATAAATAAATATATATATGTATATATATCTTATCCCTCTTATTTGTCCCGTAGGAATTATATATTATTAACTTTAAAAATAATTTACGATAATGGTTTCATTGCTCTTACTGCTTTTTTAATTTTCTCAAATAATGATACGTTTGGGTAATTTGATGGAAAATAATTGCTCAGAAAGTGACCATTTTATTTTAGAATGGACAATAAGAAAGTTTCTCTCTTAACTCTTATGTAAATTCTACTTTATATGAATAATTACATATAAAATGAAAGAAATTTTGCACATAAGTCATATCTTTTACAGGTGGTTCTCAGGATTTTTTTTTAAACAGTTCTTTTTAATGGCTGTGTTACTGACATTTTGTAAGGGATAGATGATTATTATTGATTTTACCAAAATTTGTTGGTGGAATCTAATTCTTTACTAGCAATGGTGTCTCAAGAAGAGTTATAATAAATTTTTTAAAAAGCTGAAAGCTGACGTAGGGTAAGTACAAGTTACAGTCAGAATCAACAAGCCTGACATTACCCTCGGGTAGGTAAATCTTGGACTATGCATTTTCATCCTTTATTGATTCTGCATGCTTACTGTATACAGGCTACAATCCATGCTAGATTAACACCTTTCCTTAAAACTGGTCAGGCTGACTCAGTTTTTCGCATAGTCAGAGGGAACGATCTTTTATATGGGCTTTTATTTCTTTTCTTTTCTTTTTTTTAATTGGAATTGGTGAAAGGGATCTGATAGTTATTGCAACTTTTTATATCTGAAAACCTTTTCACAAATGAATACTGTCTATGAATCACCCTCATTCTAGAATGTAGAAGTGAAAGCTTGAAACAGCATCTGTGAAGCATCATCAGACTCTCATGTAATAAATCTTGCAATATTTACAGGTGTTTTTAAAGTTGGGTAGTCTGTACAGTAGGGCTGGGGAATACTGAGGGATTGGTTTAGAAGAAGAATTTAAATTGCAGGTAGGTAATTTTATTTGAGGCTCTATTATCTCAAGGTTTCATGTTCACATATTCCCCCCACCCATTATTTAACAATTATTTTTGGTCATTTATTCATTTTTTGGTTTATTCATGTTACTAAGCCAAGGTACCTAAATTTAAAATTTTATTTTAAGTTTCAAAGCCTTGTTTTCATTTTGTTGCCCTTATTGTTCGTTTATTTATTTTTGCCTTTTCTTTTGTTTTATCATTTTTTTTTCCAACCACTCCTGTCCTTTCACTCAAACCCTCCTTTAACTCACTACCAAAATAAGAGCCGTCAGCTCCTCCTCAAGACATTAGTTGCACCAGCCCAAGTTCCACTAGTATTTTGGTAAGTTGGCAACCTCCGCCAGTGGAAAAACAGAATGGCATTATTACTGAATACTCCATCAAGTACACCTCAGTGGATGGGGAAGATGATAAACCTCATGAAATTTTGGGCATTCCTTCGGACACTACTAAATACCTTTTGGAACAGCTGGAAAAATGGACTGAGTACCGCATCACTGTGACAGCCCACACAGACATCGGCCCTGGCCCCGAGAGCTTCTCCGTGTTGATTCGAACTGATGAAGATGGTATGTTGCCTCTGCTACGTCAGTTTGCACCCTTCTGACACAATCTTGGTCTGCTGTCTTTTGATAGGCTAACAGTAATCAGTTTTTCTCTGCTCATTTTTTTTTTTTTTTTTTTTTTTTTTACCTAGCATCGCTGTAACTTCAGTAATTTTTGCAAAAGACCTATCTTTGCTGCAGCCTGGGCATTTTTTTTTTCAATCTCAACACAATAATTTGCTTCCCTTTAAAAGAACAGTTTGCTCCTATGACCTTGTAATCCAGGCCGTTCTCTGTACTTCCGTCTAAAGTCTTCTGCGTTTTTCTTGGCCTTTTTTAGACACTTCTTTTACATTTTGAAGTTAACTTTTCAAATCTGCCTTCTTATCTTCTTGTTGCCTTTTTGTCTTGCATATTTCAGAGACACTGATGCTCAACATTCAATTTTTGGCATCTGTTGTTTGGAAAACCTTTGATATGAGAAAAAAAGAAGAAAACCGATATAATCAAGAATCTTTTTATTCTGCTAAAAAGAAATCTTTAAAAAAACACACAACAATCAACAAACAGTTTTTATTATTATTTCAATGCTACTCCTCTTTGTGCTTTAATGCTTTGAGCCTCAAAGCATCTTCCTTGGCTTTTGTACATTTTTTACATGTTTTTCTATTTCTCTGATACTCTTTTTTTCTTCCATTTTTTTTTTTTTTTGGCATTGGTCATGTTTTTTGATCTTTTCTTAAAAGGTAGAGCAGATTGGTTGAGCATTTTCATTGCTTGAAAATGTTTGTACTCCACAAAGGAAACAATAGTGGGTCTGCCCATTTTTTTTTTTTAAACCTAAGTAAAGAAAATACTCTGACTGGGTGGGTCAAGTGCCTATAATTTTCTTTTATCCAATGATGTTGTTCCAGTTCCTAGTGGTCCTCCTCGAAAAGTCGAGGTAGAGGCTGTCAACTCAACATCTGTTAAAGTCTCATGGCGCTCACCTGTGCCCAATAAGCAGCATGGCCAGATAAGAGGATACCAGGTGCATTATGTGAGGATGGAAAATGGTGAGCCCAAGGGCCAGCCCATGCTGAAGGATGTCATGCTGGCTGATGCACAGGTAAGCCTCTGAAATTACATATCTATGTTTTTATTTATTTATTGCATTTATTTTAGTCTATACCTTGAAATGGACCCCCCATTTTTTTATTTTTTTGACACTTAAAAAATCCTGTACAAAATTCTAGTTTTTAAAACACATGATGTGTATTTACCTTCTCAGTCAGAGTTGACAGCATGTGAGGAAGTGAGTTGTAATGAAATGACACTCAAACCTAATTAAAAACATGTAATTGTTTCCTTAAAATACAGGTACTCAACTCTACATTTATATCTGAGTTTGCCTTTCTGACCTCAAAAAAATTGAATTGATTTTAATCAAAGTAACAAGAATTCTAAGCAGCTGTGCTAGAACTACTTGAAATTAAATTGATCTAACTTCTAAATATATGACTTATTCTGTTGAAGAATAGACATTCTTACGTGAGGAAAGTTACCCAGATAGTATTTTATTTAGTACTTATTTAACAAACCATGTATTCAGAAGTAATTATTTCATTTCCCAGAAAAATGAAGGTAATGACAATGAAAAGTTAGAGTTTTCCAGGAAATAAATGGGATCCCCTCTGTTAAGGCACATTAAGAAAAGTATGAAGAGCAGTTGAGTGTGTGAGAAATTCTATTGATCCTCGGGTGGTAATTTTCAACCATGCAGTCACTTGGCTTTGTAATCTGTTGTTTAAAGCAGAGCATTACATGTTTCAGGTTTTTTTGTGTGTATAAAGGGTTTCAAAGATAATACCATAATAAATTCACCTGTATTCTACGTAGTTACCTGAAAAGAAGAGGAAGAGTTCAATTAATAGCTTCTACTGGGAATTACATATAACCTGTGGACAGCTTCACTATACTGGGTCCAGTAGTGATGGGATGTTATGAATAGGGGAGTACTATGCTTATCTAGCAAATCGGTAGCTGGACATGGAAAAGGAGGGGGTTTGGAAAATCCGAAATTTATTTCAGTAAAAAGTTCCTTCTCTTGTTGTCAAAGTGAGGAGGACTATGAGCCAAGTGAGAACTATTATGTCAGGTTGCCAGATTTTGTATTCTTGTCTCTGTGCAAATAAAAGAGCAATCCACGTCCCTGTGGCTGTAAGGAAAACATTGACCCTAATGTTTTAATATAATCAACTCACAAAAATGCTATTTTTCCTTTGGTTTTGAAACATTTTAACTAAAGGGATCTGGATGAGTTCACTTAGTCAGCTCCAAATCCAGTTCCATGGTTTTAAAGTCTACTTCTTAAACTTATGTCTTTAGATTCATAGTCCTTTGCTTTTTCTAAATATTCTGTACTGTCTGTGAAACAGTACTCACAATATGAAATTAATAAAACCATCAAAGCCTATGTTTTCTTTTGTAAGTCTGAAATTATGAAAAAGAAAATGATATGGCCATGATGTTTTGATGTACTCCGTCAGGTCCTAGATAATTTTACATTATAAACTTGTAGTTCTGTCAGTGTTTTGTGGAAGATGGTGGTTAATGGAATTACATAATACAAAATGCCTTAAATGTCAACACAATTTTCCCCCTCTCTTCTACTTTGGCTTTTCTTTATTAATTTGCCGATTTTCCTTATGTGTATGTTTATTTTATTTTATTTTATTTTATTTTATTATGTTCATCACCATACATTACATCATTAGTTTTTAATGTAGTGTTCCATGATTCATTGTTTGTGTATAACACCCAGTGCTCCATTCAGTATGTACCCTCTTCAATACCCATCACTAGGCTAACCCATCTCCCCCCCCCCCCCCCCCTCTAGAACCCTCAGTTTGTTTCTCAGAGTCCATAGTCTCTCATGGTTCATCTCCCCCTCATTATGTGTATGTTTTTGATTGTTGTTCTTTTGCCTACCTCGTGTGTTCTCTTAATATTCATTGAAATTCCACTGCATTTTGCAAGACTTCCCTGGGGCTATAAGATTCCAATATTTTATGAAAGGTGTTAATCTAATTAGTGACATAAATTAATTGCATAACATAGAGAAAAAGCCAAAATAAATGTCATAAATTTTGTATGATTAGAAACACTAGCTGTACGTCATGCCTTATTGATTCATTCCAATGAACCACATGTTAAAATTGCATTAGCTGATTTTAATTATAACAATACAAAGCATATTTACTTTTGACCTCTCAGTTCGGGGTGAGGATGGAAGCATAACACACCTACTCTTTGGAATTTTATTGTACACACTTGCTTATTTTTTTGTTCTGTTTTTTTGTTTGTTTGTTTGTTTAATCTAAGGAAGGCAACATTGCCATTATAAGGCTACAGATTTCTCTTCATTTCTTTTTATTTTGTTTTCCTCTTCCCCAACCTTCTTAATCTCAATCAGTGGGAATTTGATGATACTACTGAACATGTGAGTAATTTTGGGCTGCTTTGTCAAAAAGAGATTATAAATGCTTGTTTTTTCTGTTACCCCTCTTTCACTTATTTGTGAAATGTCATCACAGTTTGCTCGGCTGCATGAACTAACAAATTATTTTTAAATTATCTTCGCTATGTGGTATACTTTTAATTTAGGTTTTTGTTTTGTGAAATTGGCATGGTGTTACTGATTGCATAAGAAATATCATGAGCTCATGTTGTTTTGATGGCTGCTACTAACTTTGCCCTGTGACACAGTTAAAGGAGGAATGCTTTAAGTGGAGGCATCATAGACAAGAGATATCAAGCTGTGTGATATAGGCCACTCATAAATCCTATTCCATCTTCAGTGGATAACACCATGCAGTTCCGGTACTAATTATATCAAGAAATGGCAATTCTGTTGTAGCCATAGAAATTTGAGATAAATTCAATGAGTCATGCCAAGAGGCAGAAAATATGTCACTGAGGGAAGAATTTTTAAAAATATTTCAATGGCTGGATTATGTTATTTATTGAGACCTCATTACTATGTATAGGTTTCCTTGGGGGATATAGGATGCAACACCTGCCTTCGAAGCACTTACAATAGGTGGCTAGGAAGATGTAAAATTCGGAAAAGTTCCATAAAATACAACAAAAGCTATGACCTCAAGCAATGTGTAATTAATTAATAAATGGGTGGCGTTGTCAGTAAGAACTGTGAGTTCAGAGGCCACGGACCAAGAAGGTAGAAGAGGTCTTGAAACCTTGTTGAGAACTTAAAAAATAAGTAAGGGTTGAAGAAGTGGAAAAGTGTGTGTGTGTGTGTGTGTGTGTGTGTGTGTGTGTGTGTGTTGGAAAGTTGGAGGTAGGAATGTTTTTTTAAAGATGAGTATGTGGGACGTAATCATTGAGGCAGGTCAAGAATATGATATAGTCAAGTGACATGAGCTTGCCAATTCGACATGAATGAAGGGGTTCAGGTTAGTAAATTAGTGCTAAGTATGACTAAGACATAAATTTAATATAATGTTGGGAAAACCTAAAGTGTCAAACTAAAGAACTGCCTTTTAACTCTTCAGTACTGGAGAGATATAGAAAATTATTAAAAATAGAAATAAGATAAAGACTGGTAAGGGTATTCTTTCATTTAATAAATATTTTTCTTTTTGCTAAAATGCAGGGCTTTTACTAAGAATATTGGTAAATATGATGGGCAAGGTATCAGTTTTAATGGAACTGACACTGTTTTATAAACTTCTTTTACTGTAATCCATAGTAAGAAATGCATTATATGTCACGACCAATGCGTTTGTATGTTTAAAATAAAAGTCTTACAAAATAATACCTTACTTACACACATATAAAATTTAATATTTTGTATGAAAATATATCCTATTTCTTTTTTAAAATGCTGGTCATGACTAAGTAAATTGATTTCATGACCTACTTAAATGGGTCATTACCTGCAGCTTAAAGCCAATGACATAGTGGATAGATTAGAGAGAAAGAAGATAGTAAACAGGGAAACAAATAAAAACAATTCTTTTGCTAATGTCATAAAATAATAAAAATTCAATGAAGTTGAGGCAGCAAAAATGAAAAAGGGACAGTTTTGGGTAAAGGAAAAACTGGCAAAAACTCGCTAAGAATTTGAGGAAGAAAAAGAGATCAAGATCACTCATAAGTTTGGAATATGCTATACCATTCATTAAAGTATAGAAGCAAGGAGGGGAATTTACTCCTGGAAATGACACTGGAGCTTTAGTCAAGCTGAACTTGAGGGAACAATCGATAGTCAAAGGAAAATGTCCAGCACATATTTTCAATGTACATGCAACTGGAGCCCTGATGGGAAATCAGGGCTAGAAATGAGTTTCAGACAGAAAAAAATTCTTTAAGGTTGGAAATGTGTGTTTTTTTTTTTTTAGGACTAGAGAGAAACACAGCAGGCCAGTAACTGTTTCAGAACATCCAAGAATGCCGATTTTTAACAGGCAGGAAGTTGAATGGAGATATGCTAGAAGGCAATGAGATTGAGGAATGGTAGACACAATACCACACTACCTCACTACCTCACAGAGGATACCGAAACCACCAGGAAGTATGGCCACAGTTTAAAGAAAGAAAATATAACACAAGAGATGATGTGATCCAGGCAGATAGAGGTGTGTCCAGCTGCGATTATACCACTGCAGAGGGTGACCAGTTTCAAATTACATTACATGTGTTATCCTGGAACAGCCTATGCAAGAGGAAGGGCATGTGTGGTTAATTCCAATTTGATAAATGAAAAAGACTTATATAAGGCTCAGAGTATATAAATTTCTTGCCACACGATTTGGTGGTAGAACCAAGCCCTGCTTCCCTGCCCCCCAGCCTTGCCTACTTTCAGCAAAAATCCAGTAGCATGTGAGAGGGACCTTGGAAACAATAATGTTATCATTTTCCCATCATAATTTCTGGAATACCCAGTATATCTGCTATAATTTAGAATGCTACTCTTGGGTGATTCGGATGGTTTTTATAGCCTCTGTAATATTAATGAAACCATTCCAAGGTCCTGAAAATAAAATCCCTCTCCCAAATTTAGCCCATTCATCTGGCAGAATAATATTTCCAATGGCTGTTCAGGATATCTGAAATTCTTAAATTTCCACTCTAATGATATTCCTACTATTTTGAGAAAAGCACACTGTCAAAAGCTGTCATATTTGGGATTGGATTCAACAACTGAGTTCAGTGGTGCCCCTTACAGCCTTGCACAGAAAAATCCTTCTGTCCTCCACACAATCCAGTCCATTCCATGAACTCTCATTTGCTTTGTCTTCAAATGTGGAAGACAATGACATTGTATTATTTCTTAAATCTAACCATATTCAATTTGAAAACATAGCTGTGCCAAATATCTGAAAGGGATCTTTATAGCTATGTGTTTGTGTGGGAGGATGTGGGCGTGTGTGTAGCAGCTCTAAAGAAAATAACAGAAGTTAATAACTACTCTATGTAAAGAATCCTATAATCTCCAGTTTGGAAGAACAGATCTAAGTTTTGTAACTGTCACAGTTTGGGGGCCCTAATTAAGAGAAATCTAGAGTTTGTGACATTTAACATTTTCCAAATAGGATTAATTGAGCACAACTCCATGATGATATGGTAAAAAAAAAAAAAAATATTGTTCTTTGGTTTATGACCTATTCCAAATCACCAGAAAATTCTCCTTAGTGTGTAATGATTTTAGTTCATAGTCTGTATAATTAACCAATAATATGTTACTCTAGTCCTAAGAAACTTCTCTGGCTGTCAGGATATCTAGGTTCAACAGATCAGCCATTTGGCAAAATACTAGCATGGTGATAAAACAGACTGCATTGGCATTAGCCCCATCACTGGTCTGTTGGCCAGGCTATAGAGGATGCATATTGAGAGGTCCTGGCATAATATAACTGCAGGTTTATGGTTTGCTCACTATGAGCCAGGCATAGTTGTAAGTGTTTATGTGATATAACTCGTTTAATCCTTCTATTATTCCAATTTTCACATGGGAAACTGAGGTACAGAGGGGGTTAACTCACCTGCCCTGGATCACCAAACTAGGAAATAAGAAGATGCAGGTTTTAAATTCAAGAATTCAGGAGTTCTGGCCTCTGGTTTCATGTTTTTAACTACTACTTCTTAGGATTACCTCTTACGATGGCTGAAGACCCCACTTTAATGTCAGCATGAAAACACATCATTCATAGCATAGCATGAACAACAAGGCATGAAACTTCCAGTGCTTGGCATGGCTACAGGAAGTATTTAAGCATGCATAGATTGTGGATGGATGCTTTGAATTTCCCCCAGGGTGTTTGTGGTGTTTTGAATCAGTGTCATTTTATTGTGTCATTTTAGGACATGATTATTTCTGGGCTACAGCCTGAAACTTCCTACTCCCTCACTGTCACAGCCTACACCACCAAAGGAGATGGTGCTCGCAGCAAGCCCAAACTGGTGTCCACCACTGGGGCAGGTAACCATATTTGTGCATATACGTGCCTTGAACATGTTCCAGGTGACAATAATACGAATTTTCCAAATGGTATGGTGAATTCTATCAGGAAAAAAAAGTGGACTGTGGTCAGCTTTTGTGTTTTTTGATATACAGTTCAGAAGAAAAACATCAAGACATACTTTGCCCAAATTATTCAGTCAGTCATTCAACAGGTACGTGAGCACCTACTCACGTACTGGGGATACAACAATTAACAAAACAGAAATATTCTTCCCTTCTGAAACTTATTTTCTGAGTAGAAATAGATAATTAACAAGTAGACAAATGAGTATATAATAAAGCATCAGTAAGTGAGAAGTTGAAAAATAAAGGTGTGTAGACATTAAGGATAGGATAGCCCCTAGGGACTGTTTGGAAAGAGTGATCGGAGAGGGTCTTTTAGAAAAAAGTTATTTGAGCTGAGACATGAATGACGTTAAAGAGCAAGTCCCATGAATGTCCAGAGGGATGATCATATGGGCAGGGATGTCACTCATTAGCTTCAACCTCTCTCAGCAACAAACCTTTTTAGAAGAGCTGCCATCTTGAACTGAGTTGATGACTTACAGTTCTGGGTTTTGTTTTGTTTTGTTTTGTTTTATTCTGCCATTTTCTCCTGCTCACTCCTTGCTGTGGGGATTCTGAAGAGGCCAAATCACATAAAAGATGGGGAACAGAAAAGAAAAGAAAAGCAGCATGGCTACAAAATATCAGATTGCTCCTCTGAAGAACAAAGTTTCTTAATGCTCTTTAGAGTTACTTTGATCGTCTCACATTAGGAAAAGCCAGCATGAAGGAAGACCTGACATTGTAAAACCAATAAGTTAAGACATAATTACAAAAGGATTCTCCTCCAATCCCTTTATATCACAATCTCCCATGGAACATTTAAACTATGATTTGATTTACTTCTCCCGAATCGCTTCTCCCACAACTTTTTAGGAACACACCTCTATGTAAAGGCATAAAGCAAAGAACAGCTGTGATGTTGAGTACCCTCCTGGGTGCCATGCTCACTGCCAAATTTGTCTAAATGTCATAAGATTTGCCTCACTTACATCCTGCCACCTGGAACTGCCTCAAGCAGCAGAATTACAGATGGCAAAACTCCTTTAAGGCAAAGTCTTCTGGGCTTTTTTTTCCCTTTTTTTCCTTCTTTTTTTTTTCTTTAAATTTAAGAATAGCATTGTATCAATCTAATTTAATGCCCTCCTTAGGAGATATATGTTCAGTGGGGGCATGCTGACTGGCTATGGAACCAGCCTCTATTGAAATGTAGACAACTAAGTGTAAACCCCTGAAATTAAATCCCAAAATGAAGAAAATATATTTCCTACACCTGTATTTATAATTGTGTCTTAATTAGTCTGAGATATATTACATAAAGCATCAAGCTCCTATTGCCCTAAGATAGGGGTGCTATAATAAGAGGAGAGAATTTATAGCCAAGGGGTATGAATCCCAGAGAAAGAAATGGCATTGTCGATTTCCTTAGCACGAACACTGGCTCATCGCTTTTTAGTGAATATTCAAAAAATTATTTAGAGTTGTGGATGTTATTCGCATAGAGGATTATTTTGGTGTTTCCATTTCAGAACTTTCTTAATCAATGGTGATTTGGGTATTGAGGAAGACAATGCTTATATTTTAGATGTCTGAACATATATTGTCTTCATACTGGGCCTAAGTTGGAGGTGTGAGAATCCAGATTTATAATCTCTTTCAGAGAAAAGCTTGTTTATTGTCTGCCAACCAACTAGTCAAAATCATTCCTTAGTCATGGTTTATCCCCAGGTAAAAAGTGTAGACAAAAAGTACAATTATAACCATAATAACTTAAAACAACATTTTTTTTGCACTACTTAAAGAAAAAAAAAACCTTACAAGCAATATAAGAGTATAGTTAAGTGTTTGGGCTATGGATTCAAATTGTCTCACAGCTTTCTCACTTATTATACCTCTGACTATGCAGTTTTCCATCTCCCTGGGTGTCATTTTCTTATTATAGAAAATGAAGATAATAACTAATCAGAGTGTGTAGTCAAGAGTGAAAAATGTAAATCAAATGAAATACTACATCTAACGCTCTTAGTACAGTGCCTAGTACATTGCATATACCCAATAATTAAATATGTTATAATTATTATTCTTATTAGCTGTAGCTAATTAGCTAATCTTTACTTGGATTCATTTCTCTGTGGCATGAACCTTTATATGTGTGAAGGTTTGATACAAGATTGTTTTTAATTCCCTTAAATTATTTTGTAAGCCTACTTGTATCTGTTATCAAATTCTGGTTTCTCAGCCTACCTTAATAGTTAAGGATGAGAAGAAGCATATTTCCACAAAGGTATATAGACCAAGTCTTTTTTAAAATAAATAATGTAATGGGAATTCCTGTGAAGTGGTGTTCCCACTCAGCAGTGATTAAAATGTGAATGAATGTCTATCTAGGTTGGTCTTACCACTCCTTCCCCTGTACTCCAGTTCCAGGGAAACCCCGTCTTGTGATTAACCACACTCAAATGAATACTGCTCTCATTCAATGGCACCCCCCTGTGGACACATTCGGACCTCTTCAGGGTTATCGTCTAAAATTTGGCCGGAAAGATACGGAACCACTCACTACTCTTGAGTTCTCTGAGAAAGAAGATCACTTTACAGCTACAGACATCCATAAAGGAGCATCATATATCTTCAGGCTCTCAGCCAGAAACAAAGTGGGCTTTGGGGAAGAGATAATGAAAGAGATTTCTGTTCCAGAAGAAGTCCCAACTGGATTCCCTCAAAACCTCCACTCAGAAGGCACCACTTCAACCTCTGTCCAGTTATCCTGGCAGCCACCTGTCCTGGCAGAGAGAAATGGCATCATCACCAAGTATACTCTTCTGTATAGGGATATCAACATCCCTCTTCTTCCAATGGAGCAGCTTATTGTTCCAGCTGATACCACTATGACACTCAGTGGCTTAAAACCAGATACCACATATGATGTAAAAGTACGTGCTCACACGAGCAAAGGGCCCGGGCCATATAGTCCCAGTGTCCAGTTCAGGACACTGCCTGTGGATCAAGGTAGGATTTGTCTGCTTATGGCCTTCCTCCTTTAAAGGAATGTCGGTCTTTGGAAATCAGTATTTTGAAGCTATAAATAACTGATCGGACCATTCATATTAATAGGTTCAGCAAAAGCCAAAAGGTAAAGTATGTAAAACTTAATATGTTTTGGATGCCTTAGATTTTGGTTATAGAATGCCAAGCAAGTCTGGCTGACAGCAACCCAATGTTCTCAGGTAAGGAAAATACAATATAGGTGACTGAATTGAAGAGAAAAGAGAGATCTTTATGAGAATGAGGTAGTAACATGAATGGTCTAAACAGGTAGGCAAATCACACTTCTCTCTCTCTGACCAAAGTAGATGGCTTCTAGCTTAAGCCCGATGGTCCATGGTGGAAAAGGACAGGTCATACGTTTTTAGGAGTAGTGTAAATACACTGTTTTTCCTTTTCCAGCAGTGTTTGCAAAAAATTTTCATGTCAAAGCAGTAATGAAGACTTCAGTGCTGTTGTCTTGGGAAATTCCAGAAAATTATAATTCTGCCATGCCTTTCAAAGTAAGTTGTTTTCTAATTTTTAAGATATCATGGGTAAAACGGGGCGGGGGGGAGACATTCAGTTTACCTGAGTAAGTTATTCAGAAAGCATACACACCACTTTGTTTCAGCCACACACACTTGCTTTTCTCCTTTTTGGTTTCCACTTGAAAGATGAGGTGGGAGCTGAAACCTAGGGGTGGTATTACTTGTCAGTCACCTTATAGTTCCAAGACTTTTTACATCTAAGCTAGTGCTTGTGTTTTTCCACCAGAAAATGAAATTCATGTGGTTTCTACATCTTGAAAATGCAGTATCCTGGGATTTAAAAAATTTGTTTATTGGCCTGAATTCTTTGTATGTTTTAAACTTTAATTTGCAATAGAGAAATATTGAGAGATGTTACCAAGAAGTGCAAGTCTATGAAATAAAGAATAGAGAAACATTTGAAGGCAAGAGTGTACTTAGGAACAGGAATAGAAGCATTTAGAAAAAAAGGTGATGTGGATAATACAGTGAAAACCTAGGGCATTTCTGCACAATTTCCATTGAGATTGTATGCAAGCAACAGATCAAATATTGAAAATATTGTACATTTCTTTCTGTATTTTTTATAGACTTAGAAACATTACATAATTATGCACTAAGAACAAAAGAAGAATTCATTCAATCTCTAGAATTTATGAACACTTAAGCACTTAGGAATGGCCCAAAATTAGAATTGATTTGACATGCATATTCTATAACCAAGTGCACATTAGTTTAGAAAGCATACATTGCCTCTCTGATAACCAAATCTCTTCGATTGGTTGTATCTTCTAGATTCTTTATGATGATGGGAAAATGGTAGAAGAAGTCGATGGCCGGGCTACCCAGAAGTTAATTGTCAACTTGAAGCCTGAGAAGTCATATTCATTTGTGCTGACCAATCGTGGGAACAGTGCTGGTGGGCTGCAACACAGGGTAACAGCAAAGACTGCACCAGACGTACTACGTACCAAGCCTGCCTTCATTGGGAAGACCAACCTGGATGGCATGATTACTGTGCAACTTCCTGAAGTACCCGCAAATGAGAACATAAAGTAAGTCAATTGAAGGGTTAGGGCTGAAGGATGCAAATGCAAGTAAGCAAGAAAATAGAATTCAACCTCAATATTACAGAAGTTATAAAAGATTCTATTGCTGTATGTGGAGTAAAAGCTTCTTCTGCATAGGCTCTCAGTTTTATTTAAGCCTTATTACACCCAGTTGTCATGTTCATTGTAACACAGATTCTCACTGATTTAACATTGAGTGTTTTTTATGTCCCAGGAATGATGTAACTTAGTAGAAATAGACAAATAGAATGCGATCCTTACTCTAAAGGAGTTTATGTCATAGTATACAGAATAAGGTGACTAGTTGAATAATTCTAATACTTTGCAAGTCTTATTATAAATGGAGAGGAATTTTTGCAAAGTGTTATGAAGCCAAAGGAAACTTGGGGAAATAAGATAAGCAAAAATGGTACTTGACACTGTTGTTGTATATGTATGCTGAAAGGAGACATTTCAAAAGTTAAGGTTCTGGATGATGTTGGAAAAAACAAGTTGGAAAATGCAAATTTTCTGTTTTGGATGGAGCACAGTGTAGAGGCCAGTGGGCCTGAAGTGAAAAATAAATCCAGTCAATTAAGTAGTTTACTGGTTGTATATATATAGTTGATTATAGCCAATACATTTTATAATCAGTATAGCTAGGTGGTTTTAGCCAGTAAAAGAAAAAAATATTTTCACTGCAGTATGCTAAGTATGAGTATTGTGGTTGACCATGGAGAACAAAAGAAGATGTTGACTCTGTCCCCAAAGAGCTACCATAGAGTGGGGGATACAGAGAAACAGATATAATACATGCTAATGATGGAGTTAGACTCTATTTTAAGAGCAGCTAACTGATAATGAAATGGGTCAAGGAGGTTTCTCATGTAATCTTAAAGGACAAGTAGGACACATACAAAAAAACAGAGTGAAAAGATTATATGCAAGGGCTCATTAGTAAAGGAAGCGAGTTATCTTGTAAGGCCTAAACAAGAGAAGTAAGAGATGTATACAAGAGCCAAGTTGCACTCAGAACTTGGAACTATATCCGGTAGACGGTGGAAATTCAGTAAATGTGTTTATGCAGGAGAGTGGCATGTATCATTTATATAATACCTAAGTTTCCTTTTTTTCCATTTTAGGAAATATTTATTGGGTATCTGCTGCATGCTGGAGATTGTGTTATCTGCTTGCTTTCTCATTTCTTGTATCCCGCATGATCATGTTTAAATGAAACTTGCTATGAAAGATTTGAAGGTCCAGAATAAACTATGAGACGTTTATACATATTTTATGGATTGTTGGGACCTTCACATTTATCAGCAATCTGGTGACATAATTAGGGCAGTTCTTAGGGAAGATGGCTCCTGAAGGCATATGTTGGAAGGATATTGGAGCAACATAGAGAAAAGTGTTGGGATGTCATTGCGTATTTGGTTGATTCTAGGTAAATAACAAGATTCTGAAATCAGATGGTGATGAGGGAAATAGGATGCAGAGGCAGATGAGAGCAGTAGTGTAGTAGGAATTGGTAACCACTTTAATGGGGGATCAAGGCAGAGGAAAATTGTCGTAGATGACTCTGAGAGTTGAGTTTGGATGACAAAAGAGAATGATACTGCCATTCATCCTAGAGGATGAAAAGTCAGGAGGAAATGACTGAATTCAATTTTGTGTATGTTTTACATGAGGTATCAGTGAAATACCTACTTAGAGATGTGGGTTTAAAGAAATTACTAGGATTATGGATAGAAATTTGAGAATCATTAACACAGCAGCAATGCATTTATGGAAAGAGACAGAATCACTGAGACAGTGGGGTGAAGATATGAAGCAAAGGTTAAAGTAAATGTCTCAGGAAGAAAAGAGCTGGTAGAGCACACAGTAGGATTTGTTACAAAGTTAAGTGGAGAACCAAGCCAGGGCAAGTTCATGGCAAAAGATTTTTCAAGAAGGTGTATACAGTCAGAAATTTCCAAAGCTCCAGAAAATTTTAAAAAGATGATAGAAAAAAAATCAATTATTAAAAAGTAAAACTATAAACAAGAAGTTTTTAATATAGTGCCATGGTTGAAATTTAGAAAAGTCTAATAATTGGTGACTTTGACTTAACTAAAATCCATTCTTCCAGAGAAAACCTTCTGTTCTTATTTATTGGATGAAATAATTGGAGGATTTTTACCAGATGGTGGAATTTCCAAAAGATTATGACTAAAATAAATTCAGTGAGAAATCAGATCTCCTTTTTTGCCTCCTCTTCTTGTATCATTCAGAAAACTGGAAAATGAGAATGGAATATTAGTATAATTTTTATTCCAACAAAATTTAATATGAAAGTGAGATTATATTTATCCATTTTTATTTAAATCATCTGTGGAGATAGATATATATATTAATCTCCCATCCTAGTGCCAGACAATGTTTTAGGGATTTAGTAGAGACAATGCTGACTTTCTTACTGCTCTTACTCAACATAGTTAATTGGGGAACGTGGACAAGTAGAGTCCGTTGAAATGGAGTTTTAGGATACCAAAGCTTAGCTGGTTAAGGGAGGCCAAAGGAGGAGCTCCCAACCCCAGTTTAGTAGCTTGGGGAAGGTTCCGGAGAAAGTGACAATAAAACAGAGGCTTAAAGAATGACAGGAGCCTAGCTGGTTCCTGGGAGTGGGGTTGGAGAGATTCCATTTCAGGCAGAAGACAGCCTATGTGATACTGCAGGTGCAAGAGAAAGACTATTACTTGTTATTTGCCCACCTGGATGGGGAAGCCATCCAGGAAGACATTTCAGCTGGCATCTGACAAACAGGTGTTCTCTACCTTGCCAGTGCTGGGTCTGGGACTAGAAAGATGACTGAGATGAAGCCCTATGTGATGGTGGCAGAACAGATGTAAAAAATAGATCATGTGAATATAATGGAGTAAGTAAGTCCTGCCAGAGTTCCAGCCCAGCTTGGGTGTCCGGGAGACATCTAGAAGGAGCTAATATGTAATCTGAGTCTTGAGGGTGGGAAAGATTTAGAAAAGGCAAAATAGTTGCAAATAAAGAAAGAACAGGTAAAGATATGGAGTATAAATTTAAACCATACAAAGACATGAACTGTATATTCACGGAAAGAGCAATTGAAAGATGAAAATAATATAGTATAATTTGTAGTATTTGTTACTAGTTTTCAAGACTTAAGAAAAAATGTCTTTACTGAGTGACTCTTTACCCAACTGGCTTGGTGGAATGTGTTAGACATTACTGAGAAAGGCATTTTAGCCCTTTGGTGGTAGATTTTTGGTTCATTTTCCAACTTCTGAATGAGTCGAGAATATTGTAGAATATAGTCTATCTTTTAGTGCTTTTCTTTAGCTTGTTCAGTTTTCCTCTTTGTTTTATTTATGTACTTCCTCCTCCTATATTTGAAATGGGAGTCAGGGAAAAGAGGTAAAACTTTGGTGACAAAGAGAAGAGACCATTTTGTAACATAAAAAGTAAGCAAATGACTGTGGGGAAAAAATGTGTTCTAGAAATGAATTCAAGATTCCCAGAAATATATTCGAGTCACTCTGTGGAAAAGAGCAAAAGACAAAACAAGGAAAGTATTTGAGTGGGAAGAGTATCAGAACCATAGGAAATGAAAAGCAAATCTCCTGTTAGAAAAAAATAAACAAATAAAAATGCTAAATAATCTATATACATTGGACTTTTTAAAGGGATAATAACATAAAGCTACCCATCCTGTCTTCGTTGGGCACAGTCCATTATTACAGGCAGCTGTGTGCCATGCTGTGCCACTTGCAGCAGTTGGCAAGTTAAGAAATTAGAAAGGAATGTAGCTTTTTGTTCAGTATGCCAGGGGAAAAATGAGAGAAAACAGGATTGATACCAGATCTGTGGGCTGGGTTGCTAACTTGCATTTAGGTGAAAGTTCTTTAGAAACACTTTTCTAATTTGTTTTCTATTAAAATGAAATTTTGGTGATTGAAGGCTGTTTTTATCAACAAAAACCATGCTTTCTCATTTCTGGCCAAGGTAATTGGGAAGTCTTGATCCCTACCCCCAACCTCCCACCACCCGGAAACAAATCTGTCTCTTGTAAATGTGACATAGTCAAGGCTCATTGCTTCTGTATTCTTTCATAAGTGGTTTTTGTGTGGAGAAGTGGGGAACCTCCCTCAGGGAAAGGCTACATTTCTGACACCAGGAATTTGTGGTGCTTCAGGCTTCTACTTGGATAGATAGATATAGGGGGCAGAATGCGAGTGGGAAAATCTGGCAACTTCACCATTCTTCAGAAGCAAGTTGTGATGAAGGGAACTTCCCTGACTTTATAGAGCAGGATTTTACTCTGAGTGGTAAGGAAAAATGTACCACACAGATTGCACTAAGAGATAAGCTGTCAGAAGTTACCCAATATAAGTTAATTTCATAGTAATCATTTTATATTTATGAAAAATAAAAATGAATAAGAGCATTTTATGAATTTTAAATGTCTTCGGTCTTACTAATTTGGCTTTCAGGTTGGCCTACTTTTTCTTGTTTTAAAGAAGGTATTCTTGGAAGCATAGTTTACAAAGGTGCTTCATAAAATGTGTGCACTATTACTAGTTTAATGTATTAATGTATCATCTATTTAATGTTTAATGAGAAATAATTCACTCATCACATGGTTGTCAACTGCAGTGGTAAAGGTGTAAAATTGTATAGTGCTTTATAGTTTGCTGGACATTTGAATGTTTTATTTAAGTTTCAAAATAAGCCTTGGGCGCCTGGGTGGCTCAGTTGGTTAAGCGACTGCCTTCAGCTCAGGTCATGATCCTGGAGTCCCGGGATTGAGTCCTGCATTGGGCTCCCTGCTCAGCAGGGAGTCTGTTTCTCCCTCTGACCCTCTTCCCTCTCGTGCTCTCTATCTCTCATTCTCTCTCTCTCAAATAAATAAATAAAATCTTTAAAAAAAATAATCCTTTGGGGTAGGTATTCATGCCATTTATGGGTGAGTAAAGTGAGGCTCAGAGATACTA